TGGTCTCCAAGCTGGACCAGAGTGTCGGGCGCATTATCAGCGCATTGAACAGCACGGGTCAGCTGGCGAACAGCATTGTGATCTTCTACTCCGACAATGGGGCGCCATCGGTGGGAATGTTTGCCAACACCGGCTCCAACTGGCCGCTCCGAGGCCAAAAGAACACTCCCTGGGAGGGAGGAGTGCGCGTAACCGGTGCTATTTGGAGTGCACAGCTGCAGGGACGCGCCAATGCGTTCACCCAGCCAATTTATGTGGCGGATTGGCTACCCTCGCTGGCTCATGCCGCGGGCATCGAGCTGCCGCACACCCTCGAACTGGACGGCATAGACTTGTGGCCGCAGTTGGCTGGCCCTGCGGATGCACCGCATGTGCCGCGTGAAATTCTGCACATGCTGGACGACGAGTGGAGGGTCACTTCGTTCCTACTGGGACAATGGAAGTATATTAATGGTACCACTTCGGCGGGGCAGTACGATCAAGTGCTCACGTACCGTGAGCTGGAAGATCTGGATCCTCGGGAGACTCGCTATGTGGTGGAGGTACGCAACTCGCCCACGTCGCGCGTCTTGTCACGCCACGACATTCGACGCATGACGCAGCAGCGGGTGATGTCTTTACGGCGGTCAGCTTCCGTTCGCTGTGGAGATCTTCAACGTGGCTGCAATCCCTTGGTGGAGGAATGTTTGTTCGATATCTCGACTGATCCGTGTGAATCAAACAATTTGGCCTATTCCGAGAGGCACTCTGAAGTTTTGTCGGCGATGCGGCAACGCGTCAAACTCCTACGCGAAGGAGCCTCTCCTACAGGAAATCGGAAGGGCATTAGGAAAGCTGATCCATCGTTGCACAAGTGCGCTTGGGAGGCATTTGACGTGGAGATACCTGCATTGGGTGAGCACGACCTGCTGCAATTATGAACTATGGTTTATTTTCCTTTCTTTTCTATTAATTTCGTAGCGCCCATGGAATGCGATTATCAGGGCAGCCCCTGTGAATAACCGTTACCCGCTGTCTGCGTGATTGCGATACTATCGGCTAAACCCAGTCTGCCAACACTGGCTCACACGATTTTTTAAATACATTATTAAAAGATTAATAACTTTAGGATAATCATACTCGTTAATATTGTAAATTATATGTAGTTAAGATAAAGTTTTACAAACGCTCACAGTGTGCTCACATTCAAACGCCCCTTAAGTGGCGCCCGAACAGCTGACAGCCTGTTAGCATACACATGCGTGTGTGTACATAAATTTCCTTGAAGCCAAAAAGGGGGTTGTTGTTGGGCGTCGTTGTTGGAACAACCACAAAGCCGGAGAATCACACGACAGCAGACAGAAAACAAACACACCATGGAGGAGCGCGCTGTTTTGGCCAATATTGCTTCCATAATTACTAAGGATATGCTGATTGATCAGCAGCCCAGGGGCGAAGGCCAAACAGAGATTTCATCAAATAGTTACCCTCTGCTGGCGGCAAGTGATGACGACGAGGCGGAGATATTTGCAATGATGCAGCAAAAACGTGCTTCGTCTTCAGATCTGAAACGTAGAGAGACGACGGAGCCAGAGGAGCCACAGACACGCCACAAAGTTGCCAAATTGGAGTGGACATATGGAGATCTAAATCTACTCCATCGCTATGTGGATGCTCAATTCGAGTCTTATTTGCATATGCGCAAGCTATCGTTTCTGGTGAGTCGCAGAAAACACCCACCTGCCCCCTGGATGTGTCACTGAGTAACGCCCACCAACCCTTTGCAGAGAATTCAACAAGCATTGGAGGAGATACTGCAGAATATTACGCTGCCAGGGTACCCGAGCCCCCCACCACAGACACTGGTGTCGCTGGCCATGTGGAAGCTTGCCACCGACGAGCACTTCGAAGAGATTTCCAGGAAGTATCAGTTACCGTGGGCACTTTGTCAACAGGTGGTCCGCAGCTTCTGGAGCGTTATATCCGACAACTATGAGAGCTTCATCAAGTGGCCCAATTCCCTGGCAGCGCAGCAGAGCACTCTGCAGGCCTATCAAAGCCTTCCGCAGCTCAAGTGCTTCAAAGAGCTTTTTGGCATCATTACGCTGAAGCGCCTGGATGTCTTTCTTGAGTCGGAGCATGCCGAGGTTCCCGTGGTCCTGCAACTCATCTGCAATGCCGAGAAGAAAATAATCGACTGCTATGTGGAACTGGCTAACGAGTACACCTTCGAGGAGTCGCCAATTGGCCAAACGCTTGCGTTGAATCCCAGGACAATGCCAGCGGGCAGCTACCTCATTGGCAACAGTGTATTTCCGCTCAAGTCGTATCTGATGCGACCCATCGAGTCGGAATGCTTTCGCAAGGATGCGGTGTTCAACGATCTGCTGAAGCCTGCCTTCCAGCTGGCCGAGGAGGTCCTCGACGCACTGGCTCGTCGTTTCAACACTCTCTACGCCCTGGAGGCGCGGGATCTCAACGAAGTGCGTCTCATTATGGAGAGCATTTGTGCCATGCACAATCTCTGCGAGGAGTTCAAAGATGATTACTTGGTCCAACTGGCTAATTCGGAAGGGCAGATCAACTTCACCTGGGGCGGCATAGTGGACGACATTAAAGGGAGTGAGAGTAACACTAAAGGGTTGCGTCGGCGTGTTGACCTCATGGATGAGTTGGTGGCCATGGAGCCGGGGGATTAATAATTCCAATATCTTTGTAAGAAATTAAGCTAAGAATTATATTTGATGTCGTCCAACAGCTGTTTATATTTTCAACCATCGATAGTATCGATAGCGCTATCGTTTTTTCCTATCGCCGTTTGGCAACTCTGGTCTGAGGCAAAACAAATGCACGTGCGAAGAAATAATTAGCAACAAAATGGACGAGCATGACATATTTAAGCTATTAACGGCGGGAGTACGGTTTACCAAGAAGCCAAAGGTACGTATAAATTGTGCAGGTATAAATCAACACGCAGCGACTAATTTGCGCCCCCACAGAACCCTACAAAACCAAGCACAACAGTGGTCAGTTCTCAGGCTGATCAAGAGCTACAGCCGCAAAAAGTTAAGAAAGCAGAGGAGGAATCGGAAAACACAGAATTTCGGCTTCTGGGAGATGCAGCAGGCGCTCTTGGCACTGCGCCCAAGCGCAAAAAGGCCAATGGTGAAAAAAAACTATCGGAAGAACAGCAGGAACTGCAAAGGCTGACGGATCAGGCGAATGCAGCGAGAAAACAGCACAGCATAACAGCGCTGGGCAAGAACATTCCGGCGCCCGTGTTAAGCTTTGATGAACTGATTAGGGATTACAAGCTATTGCCGCGCCTGCAACAGAACGTTCTCTCGTACGGATTCTCCCAGCCCACGCCTATACAAATGCAAGCACTGCCGGTACTGTTCCAGAAGCGGGCTCTGATGGCCTGTGCGCCCACTGGCTCGGGAAAGACCTTGGCCTTTCTCACGCCCATTATCAATGGCCTGCGCTCTCACAAGACGTCCGGGCTGAGGGCCTTGGTATTGGCCCCAACGCGAGAGCTGGCGCAGCAAATCTATCGCGAGTGCTCGGAATTGACGAGGGAGACGGGTCTGCGCACACATTTCATTAGCAAAGTGAGCGAAGCCAAACAAAAGCATGGCGCGGAGTGCAAGCAAAAGTATGATATCCTCATCTCCACTCCGAATCGGGTGAGGTTCTTGCTACAGCAGCAACCGCCCCTGCTGGATCTGAAGGGTGTCGAATGGTTTGTGCTGGACGAGGCGGATCGACTGATGGAGGAGGGCCAGAACAACTTCAAGGAGCAGCTGGATGACATCTACGCGGCCTGTTCACATCCCCAGAAGTGCGTGGCGTTCTTCAGTGCCACCTACACGGTCCCAGTGGCCAAGTGGGCGTTGCGGCATCTCAAGAACCTTGTGCGGATCACAATTGGAGTGCAGAACAGTGCTACGGATACAATCCAACAGGAACTGCTCTTCGTTGGGTCTGAGAGTGGCAAGTTGGTGGCCATGAGAGACCTAGTGCGCCAAGGCCTTCAGCCGCCTGTTCTTGTTTTTGTCCAGAGCAAGGACCGTGCAAAGCAGCTGTTTGAAGAGCTGCTCTATGACGGCATCAACGTGGACGTGATCCACGCCGAGCGTTCCCAGCATCAGCGTGATAACTGCGTGCGCGCTTTCCGCGAGGGAAACATTTGGGTACTGATTTGCACGGAGCTCATGGGGCGCGGCATTGACTTCAAAGGCGTTAACCTGGTGATAAACTACGACTTCCCTCCCACGACCATCTCGTACATTCATCGCATTGGACGCACTGGTCGTGCGGGCCGTCCAGGCCGTGCCATTACCTTCTTCACCCAGGATGATACGGCCAATTTGAGGAGGTAACTCGGAAGCTTATGCTGCTACAAGGTGCACTCTTTTATAACGATTGGTTTCTTTTTCTCAGCATTGCAATGATCATTAAAAACTCTGGCGGTTCTGTGCCGGAATACATGCTGCAAATGAAGAAAGTTCGCAAATCGGAGGCCAAAATGCGGGCCAAGAAACCGCTGGATCGCGAGGATATATCCACAAAGATTCGACCAGAGTCTAAGATTGATGCGAAGACCCAGAACTCCGCAAAGCTGCAGAAGGTCCAGAAAACGGAAAAGTTTCTCAAAAAGCGAGACGGCAGGGAAAAGGCCACCAAAACGACAAAAACAATTGAAAATCGTTCAAAAAAAGCAAAGAAAATGGCTGTTGAGCCGAAACTGATGAAGCTGAAGAAAATGAAAAAAGATTTAAAAGCCTAGAAAGTTTACGTAGGGTTTGAATTAAATATAATTGTATAAAATATAATTTCGAAATGAGCGCTAAATTCTTCTGTATGCTTACAGCTAAGTGTACCAGTGCTGGTAAATACTTATTTTGTTCGTCCTACCATCCAACTATCGATATATCCAACTGAGATTTCGGTATATTTCTAAGGGGCAGAGGTATTTTTGAAAATGAGGAGGTATGTTTCTGAGTGTCAAGCGGTATATTTTATCGATAAGTCCGCGGTAACAATTGCAGATGTTGTTGTTAATGGACGCTACAAAAAAATTATGGACGATTTAAAGAAAATGTGTCGCATTTGCCTAAAAGAGGCAACAAAGACGCCTGTGGACATTTTTGCTAGACAGAAACCCGATGAGAGCTTGCCCTACGAGCCGGAAGACCTTCCGGCGAATCTCATAAAGGAGTGCACCGGTCTGAGTGTCGAAGAAGGCGACGGCCATCATCAGCATTTATGCGAGCCGTGCTTCAAGCAGCTGCGAAAGGCATTTCGATTCAAGCGCAGATACTGTCGGAGCATGCAGAGCCAGGCACCGGTGAAGAGAGAACCAATTGAAGAGGAAATATCCACAAGTCCAAACGACGCCGCCTGGCAGCCGCCACCGGTGCAGGTGATGAACGAGGCAGAGATCGAGGATGCCGCTTATCCCACTGTGCCCGTGATCAACGAGGTGTACAGCGAAAACACTGCGGGGGAATATTTTGAGATAATCGAGACAGAGGACTTGGATGTAAACATAAAGACCGAGGAGGCCGTGGAGGAAGAGGAAGAGGATGAGGACGAAGAGATTACCCCCAACCCGTCACGGAAGAAGAGACCTTTCACCATGAGGGTGGTGGATCAGGCGGAGGATACAGAGCCAAACGAGGCGGGACCACCGCCGCTCCACTTCCAGTGCATACACTGTCCAAAGACATTCCCCAAGAGGGCGCAACTCGTTCTCCACAGTCGCGCCCACAAAAAGAAGAAGCTGGCAGAGGCGGACGAATAGCCCCGCCTAGAATGGAAGTCGTACCAAGTAATCTGAAACAATATGTTGTATTTTGTTAGAGCTAGGAGAGATAAATGTTTTAGCTATAAGGAAGAAAGGAAGGATGTTGTCCTGTCCCTTGGACTACAGGACAAACTGACATGCTGGAATGCATATTTGGTGCGGGACAGACAATGGGAACGAACCCACAAATTATTTAATTTACATAAATATCTTTAAATGTTTTACGTTTTGTCAAACTAAATGTACTGGCTTCGATAGAGACCCCGCCACGCTCCGATAAATATGACATGGAAACACACTCAGTTTTATATCAAATAAAATCTTGAATATTTCTTAATCTTAATCTTAATCGGATCTTAAAATTACTAAAAAACGAGAAGGGACGTGTGAGACGCTTCTTAAGCGTTTTATACCCGGCACTCAGTACTACATCTGCACCTTAGCGGTGTTGCCAAATTTTACATATTTTCTTCATCTGTCATCTACATCTACAACACTTCTCACACTAACACGCTCCGTTAGCTCGCCGCCCTTCCCTAGACCCACACACTGCAGACTCGCGGCAGACACTGCAAAACGCACACGGGGTGGGTTAAAAGTCGGCAGAGGCAGGGGCCGAGGGAAGCAGAAGCAGAGTGTGAATGAAAGAATGTGAAAAGAACAACAAAAGCTGCGGGACAGCTTGGGTTTAGCCACTGCATATTAATTTCTTCATTCTGGCTATAATAATGATGCAATCGGATCCCAATTTGGTGATCTGATAGATATGGCCATTCCCTACGGAATGGCGTTTTTAGTTTTCTTTTATCTTCAAATTTGTAGATTTGTGTGAGCATGCAGAAGTCTGGATGCAAAATTTGGTGGTACTAGCTTTTATGGTCTCTGAGATCCAGGCGCTCAACAAGTCGGACGGACAGACAGACATGGCTCAATCGGCTCGGCTATTGATGCTGATCAAGAATATATATACTCTTTCCTTCTGTGTGTTACATACATTTACTTTGTGCACAAATACAATATACCCTATTTACTCTTCGAGTACCGGGTATACAAAAATCGTCTTTGGTTCGCTCTTCGAAGGCTGGTTCCCCAGCGAAGGGCACTGCATTCTTTATTTGTCCCACAAGACTCCAGTAATTAATGCACAAGCGAATTATACAAAAGAAAAATAAGACTACGCGAAAGAGTAGGTAGTGTAGTGTTTAGAAAATAGAGATCTTAAAATTTTTTTTTTTGTGTTTTTTTAATCGCTACATCGAAATTGGATGGTCGTACGACGATTAGTACGCATTGACCAGGTACTTTAGTTTACGTTGGGAATATATAAGAAGAAAAAAAAACGAGAACGGACGTGTGAGACGCTTCTACATTTTACATTGTTTCTTTAACACTTCTCAGGCCAACACGCTCCTTTAGTTCGCTCCACTCCCCTAGAGCCGCACACTGCAGAGTCACAGTAGAAGCAGAGACGCGGCAGAGGTAGAGGCCGCACATTTAAAATATAAAATTAAACCATATCATGAAGGACCCTTAAAAATACTCAAACTACTCAAAGACTAAATCAAGAAAGGAGGGCACGTTATGGTCCTGTGGCCCGAGATCGCAGCTTGTATTCGCGTGTGGTCTTCACTTCCTCGATTTTCTTAGTGTGTTGGCGCCTGATGTGCCCTTCTAGAGCGACCTTCTCAGCATAAGAATTGGAGCAGAGGGAACACTGGTACGGCAGCTTTTCAGGGTGGTGGTGCATGAGGTGAAGATTGAGACTAGACATTTGGACATAGGCACTGGTGCATTGGGAACACCGGTACGGCCTTTCTCCAGTGTGAAGTCTCATGTGAGCATCGAGATTGCCTTTCTGCGTATACGCCTTGGAGCATTGGGGGCATCGAAAGGGCCGTTCCCCAGTGTGAAGTCTCATGTGAGAATCGAGATTGCCTTTCTGCGTATAAGCCTTTAAGCATTGGGGGCATCGAAAGGGCCGTTCCCCAGTGTGAAGTCTCATGTGAGCATCGAGATTGCCTTTCTGCGTAAAAGCCTTGGAGCATTGGGGGCATCGAAAGGGCCGTTCCCCAGTATGAAGTCTCATGTGAGCATCGATATGGACTTTATGCATAAAAGCCTTGGAGCATTGGGAGCACCGGAAAGGTTTATTTCTTTTAACTGGCAGCTTCGAGTCGTTACTGTTCCCACTTGCGAATTTTGTATGCAGAAGCGACTTTGTCTCATCTTCATTCTGGCGGTGCGTGTCGTCGGCTGGGAACCCTTTGCACTTTCCAGGCCTTAGTTTTTTCGCTGGAGTGGATCCCTCGTTTGTTTTATTGCAAAGTCTCCCTTGTCTGGTTCTCTTTGGTTCTTCAATGGGTTCCATGGCTTTTTCTACTGGCTCGAGTAATTCGTAGTTGCCGATTCTGTCGTCTCCCATTGCCTTATTAGGCTCACCCAAAGTGAGTACATCGCCTTCTGGTATTCCTGGTCCCTGAGACTCTTCGTTTACTTCTGTCAGAATCCACTCTTCCTCCACCAGCGCGCAGAGTTCTTCTTCCGCTTTTATCACCTGTGCAAAGAAGCGGCGACTCTCCTCGAACTGGCGCTTCCATCTGAAAGCAGCTTTGGTCGCCTCAATGCATCCCATGCACATGAGCGTGGGGAATCCATCACCCAGCCTCAAGTTGAAGTCAGTGCACTTATTTATCATGTTCGCCAGACACAGCTGCTGCTCCTGCTCCTGTCCGTGCAGCTTAAAGCGCGTTTTCGTATATATGTTGACCATTGAGTCGGAAGTTGCACGGCATGCGATACACATCTTTGAGGTGTCCACTAACAAAACGTCAGTTAATGGTTTGACGTCCATATTAACATCAACAAATAATTTTGTATTTTGTAAAAATTTACCGCACACCGAGGTGGCCGAGAAATTATCGATAGAATATACCGTCAGGGCTTCGTAAACATACCAAAATATACCATTGCATCTTCAAAAAATACCGTAAATATACCGTAGTCTTAAATCAGATTCCTCGATTTTGATGTTCTATCTGATATTACTAGCTAGCAAAGACTTTCACCACTGAATAAATAATTTAATCCGATTGAAGAATCGATTTTGCTTATTATAAATACTCCTTTTCATTGGATTGTATACCTTAAGACCTTATATATTAAAATTTTGTTTTATTTTGTAATTTGCTTGTACAAATTTACCGCACTTTCGCTGCAGTGTGACCGTGGATTTATCGACAAAATATATTGTCAGCCCCTTATAAATATATCGAACATACCGAACATATAACATCCGTACACATTCCGTACATACCGCAAATGCTAAGTCGTCTTCCTCGACTTTGTTATTCTTTTTAATATTACTAGCTAGTTAGACGCCCATCACTAATACTATAATTAATAGAGCCCTTAGAAATATACCGAAGCTGCATAAACTTATGTATATTGATACTTGGGATATGGGTTCATGAACAAAAATACCTACTACAGCGAATGAGCTGAAAAAGTTCACCTTAACCCATTTATATGGGTGCACAAGTCTACTTTCAAAAGTAATTGGCGGGCTTGCATTGAAATTGCTTTTAAAAAGGAAATTTGCTGCTGCAAATCGAGCAATAGCAAGGCAGGGCACAAGTGTCATTGGTCTTTCCCGCTTATCGCTTCGGCTGAACTTAGCCAATAGAACTATGGAGCCATACCATAAGAGAACCGATAAGAAGCAAAGCCTGGGATTAAAAAAGAGCACATATCAGCTCATTTCAATTTATTGCATATTTAGAGCCCGTGGGGCGAGAAAATAAAAAAAAGGTATAAAGATACAAAGCAAAAATATAATCGAGCGATGCGAGAAGCGTTCTACATCTCCACATAAGTGGGCATGGTCATTACGCCGCAATTGTTCTTGCGTGCTGACATCAGGATGTAACCATCGTTGCCCCAATAGGTGGACCAAGAGTTCTTCACCAGCCAGTAGTCCTCGCCCTTGATGGTGCCGAAGCCCACGGCCAAAACGGCATGATCCAGGCCATCCACATCGTTCTTGCACTCCGGCTCGTAGTACACGCCGTTCGAGTAAAAGCTGAAGGTCTTTGGTGAGGCATCAATGGCCACGGAGAGGGGTCCGTGCTTCAGGAGGGCCAGCTTGAAGGCATTCGGATCATTGGAGGTGACATTCACAAAGCCCTTGATGGGCGCCACAAGGGTGACGTTGTTGATGCGACAGTAGCCGTCCTGTCCGAGATACGGTCCGTACTCCTCCTCGGTGGGTACGCCGCCCACCTGCATCATCCACTGATATACACGGAAGTCCTCACCGCCATCGCAGCCATTGTTGCCAAAGGGCCAGGAGCAATCGATCAATGCCTGCTGCGAGAGACGCACCAAATTGCCACCGTTCTTGAGAAAGAAGGCGCCCTCCAAATGGCCAATGGTGCCAAAGGACCAGCAAGATCCGCACACCGATTGGTCTGAAACAGAAACCAAATTCAATTTTAATTTAAGGATGAAGAAACGCCAGGCATTTGGGCCTACCTTTGACTGGGGTAACAGCACCGAACAGACGCCAATCGTACTGGTCGGGAATCTCATCCCGGTGCTTCGACACATCGTAGGGGAAGGGCTTGCCTGTGTTGTAGCCGCCAGAGGATTTGTAGCCGCGTCTGGCCTTCAGCTCCTCCTCGGTCTTGTCGGCCAAATGATTGACGGCCAGCGTGTAGGGCAGCTTAGCGCGGTTCTTCGAGTGAATGTAGCGCAGGTTCTGGCGGAAGATGTTCTTCCTGTGCTCGTGCTCCTTCTCAGTGCGGTAGCTCATGCCGTGCTTGTGCTTAAAGTGGTGGAAGGCCCTCTCCACGTGCTCATCGGTAGGTGACATAAACTCTTGCATCGGATTGAAGGTGGCATAATGGCCAGTGCCCGGCCCGGGGAAGCCCACGCACGTCAAGCTCTCGTCGATCTCGAACACCTCGTTGGGGATATCGTCGTGCTCGTAGCTGTCGTAGTCGAGGTAGTAGTGATCGTAGTGGGAGCCCAGGAGCGTGTTGTAGCCGCGCATCTCGTAGCGCACGGGGATGGGCATGCGGCTGGCCGGGTAGTGGGGCGACTTCTTGTAGCGCACCCACAGTGTGTACACGTTCTTCTTCTGGCCGATGGTCTCCTCCAGGCGGAACTTATCGCAGGTGAAGCCCAGGAAGGTCTCGGTGCCGATCAGCTGGAAGGGCTTGGCGTCGGGCAGAATGCTCTGAATCTCCACCTTCTGGTCGGATGTGCCGTTGACCTGCAGGCAGGTCAGCTTGTTCATCTCCTCATGCGTGGTGATGGGCGCCAGCTTCAGCAGTGTACCGTAATCGCCCTCCCCCGCCAGCTGGTACGTCTTCACCATTCCCCCATAGTAGTCGATGCGGGATCGCTTGGTGTTCTTATCATACCAAGCGTAAAATGGCTCCGCAATCTCGGCATATGGTATGTACAGGGTGCCCTTCACAATGTAGTTGGCATCCCAGCGCGGCGGGTTAGTGGCCTGACCTGAAGTAGCGGTTGTTGTTGTTGTTAATGTTCATGGAGAGAGAAAGAGCAGGAGTTTATCAAATGCAAACGGTAAAGGGCAGCCATTATTGTCTTGTCAGTCTCACGCCACTTTTCGCATACATACATATGTACATCGAAGTATTTACATATGTGCATACATTAAATTAGTTCTCTCACTTTTTGCAACCTTATATTTACTCACCTGACATCGCCAGGCCCGCCAGCAGCACTAGCACTAAAAACACTTGCATTCTCCGGAAATCTGCACTGAATAATCTACACTTTAATCTGAGTTCTGTTTCGATTCTGATGTTGTTATTTGGAAAGCTAAGCTCTTCTGCCGGCTTAACTTATTGTCTGCTCCGACATAAGCTTTCTGTAGCAAAAGCGTGAAAAACGCGTTTTGGGATTTCGCATGCCTCACGTTCACACTTGGAAGAACATTTAAAAACATCGCCTTCGTTCGATATTTTAATTGCAATCAGCTCAAAATCGTTGGCTCACATAATTGAGCCTGGTACTGCAGCTCAAACAACTTTATTAGATATGATTGAACTTAAATAAACATCATTGAACATGATTGAAGAACTTCACCAACTTGATTGAAAAGGACCGATCATGATTAAAAATGCTGGCACAGGCTTGAAAATGATTAAATATTATTAAATATGATTGAACACTTTAATTGAACATGACTGAACCATCATTGAATATCATTGAAAAACTTGTAACAATGTGTTTGAATCTATTTGAATATAACTGAACAAGTTGATTGGATCGGATTGAACTAGCATGAGGCCAACTATGGATATGAATCGAGAAATGGAAGGTAAGCTAAAGTTTGACAAGAACTTTTAGTTTTCACATTGCTGGTATGAGAGCTGCCGGCTTATAGAGAAACGATGAATCTACAAAACAAATTTAAAAACCTCTTTATCGCGGCTAAACACAATTTGTTCGCCTATTTAATAAAGGCATCCAAGTGGGTTAACTTCGTGTTTTCTTCGGTATATGTACAGTATTTCTTGAACATTGGCGGGTGGTCAGACGGTATAGTTGATCACGGTCACACTTTTTGTTGCAAAAGGCAAAAGGAGGAAGTGCGTATACGTATAAGGACAAGTGCCCGTTGCAAAAACATATTCGTTACGGAAGTTCGCATCGTACATGGCTCAAAATATAGTGTTCTATAAATGTTTAAGTGGTGGACGTGGTAGTTAAATGTACTTACTGCACCCAAAGAAGTGTGCGTTCATGATATCGAAGTTAAAATTGCATTACTATTTAATTGAATCGTGTGCACTAAATGGAAAAAGTTAAGTGATTAGAGGCACACAAAGTTAGGCAAATTATGTGAAAGTTTTAATGCGAATCAACGGGCGAAAGAGGCAAATACAATGTGCCGTTAATTGGAGCATCGACAAGAACAGGAGCTGGAGGACACACAACGAGGTAAAGAGTGCCGGATGCGAAAAATGCTGTAAATCAAATCAATCGTTGATTTTTCCTGATTAGCTTTCGGTCGTTTTTTTTTAGACTCTTTAGATTATACGTAGAAAGGATGGGTACATACGTATGCATGAATCTATGTGGACACATACATACAAAACCTATTATGTAGCTCTATGTTGGGGTAACACAATTGTTGGTACATTTTCTTCCATGGTCCCACATAGACACAGAAAAAGTCAACAAAAACAATTTATATCGTATACATACAACATACATATGTACATGTAAATTAACAATGAGCTGGAGCAGGATGCCGCATAGCCTTGAATGGCTTCTAGATTAAATTGCGAATGAAATGTAAAGAAAATTATAGTGATAAATATTTGAATAGAGGTTGGAATTACAATTTACCATGGACCATGGAGGTATTCACTTAAATCTAATGGGAATTGAGATTTGCGAACACACATTTGAGCCTCGGGGAGACCACAATTTTGAATTAGTTAAGTTCTGCTTCGGAGAGCCGAAAATGTAAATGTATTAGCCCTGTGTGCAGGCCAGAACACACAGGTAAAAAAAGAGAAAGAGAAATTTTATTGTGTGCACGTGTGAATGCATGCATGTGTGTATTTTTGCACAAATTCACTCGTACGTATGCATGTACGTGGGTGTGTGGGTTTCTACGCGATTTTGTCGGTGCTGTGTGTAACCTACATTTTTAACGGCAGTGTATGTATGTTGGTGAGGAGCCGAAAGCCGTTGCCGAACTCTCAGATGCAGAGGTTTCGAAATTGAAGTGGGAGGGCCCGCGGCATATGAAAATTTGCCTTTATCAGTGCCTAAAAGCAGCAGCAGGGCACACACACACACACACACAAACACATCCAAATACATACAAATAAAAGTGCATGCTTGCCAAAGTCTGCTTTTATGTGTGTGTTTGCTCGACTGACTTTGCTGCTTTGTGTTTTTGCTTTGCTGCTTGCTGCTAGAAGAATTGTTTAAACAAAACATGCCAGACTCTCGGATTTTTCTTTTGTTCAAAAAGACAAACAAAAGCCATCGTCCGAGACTCGGAGAGAGAATAATGTAAGCAAAACAAACATTAACAGAGAACAACAAAGCAAATAAGAGAAATAAAAAACATAAGAGAGTCAGAGCGAAAATGTTCACACAAAAACAAAAAGCGGGCTCTTTTGATTTTGAATTTTGATTGTCGGAAAAAAGTATTAAAAGTATTTATTTTCAATATAGAATTTCAAAGTACATGGCGGGAAATAGGAAGAATCTTAAATATTAAGATCTGTGCCTCTGTGTTTGCCTCTGCCCTCTGTGACTTTGCGGCGGCAAGTCGTGACTACATAAGGAGGCCACGCAGCCGAAGAGCCGAAGCAGTTTAGAGCGGCGATGCAGAATGCAGCAGGATGATGTTTGCGTTCGTTGCTTCCGTTATACCGTTACTGTATCATCTCTCTCTCTCTCTCTCTCTCGTGCTCCCTGCCCCCCTGTCGCTATCCACTAAGCCCAAGCCGTCTCGTCTAACCCTTTTCGGCCGCCTCTCTTCATCCATTGGACATGCATTTCCGTTAGCTGCCGCTGACTGAAAATTTATATGCAAAGAGTTGGGCACAAATTGCATTATGCAGTCCCCTTAATGGCTCGTTGGGACATAAAAATATCTCGCACTTACATAAATTGCTCTGCTCTTTGCTATTTGCTCTCCCTCTCTCTCTCTCTCTCTTGACCTTCCTCCGCCTCCTCCCGAAGTCCACGAACCGGGCCCGTAATTACATAAACACTTTTGCCCATCGCCAGGTTGGTTGGATATTTGTTGGGCCAGCGAAACGAAACTTTTGATTCTTCTACTCCACTCCTCCTCCTCCCCTACTCACCACAAAATAATGCGAAAATAAAGCATTGAAAGGGAGCTGAAAATTAAAATTGTTTTCCATTAACGAGTATTTATAGAAAACTACACAACAAATTAGCATTGGCAGGTCTACGAGTATACCTTTTAAATATCCTCCACCATCAAGTTGCTCCCATTTAAGCTGTGTAAATGTCAGGAGCAACATCTAGATTTTGATGTGTGCCCATCAACTCAACGTCAGCAGCCACACCTACATGCATATGAACTGTAGGGGTCCTTGTACATATAGAGTACATCAGACACTTGCCATCATCATTCACATCATAAGTGCCAACAGCAGGGATACCATCATCCTCAGACACCAAGGCGAAGCCCATTCTCCATTATAATTTCTGTCATTCAGCGGCGCACCTACCCACTCCACACACATATCCCACTTCTGGCTATTTTTATGCCATTTCTGCATTGTTCATTGTTTAGCTCACATTATCGCATTTTCCTCTTAAGGCATCAGCTACAGATACTATTAACATTGCCACTACGCCAGTCTGTCCTCCCCCTTCTCTTCCTTCTACTGCTGCTTCCAGTTACGCTTGCATCCACAGCACGTTGCCAAGTCAAATGTACCCTGTACGCCTCAGACATGTGCCTGTCAATATTACTCGACAGTGAAAGTAAGCAAAAGACGAAGAAACTATTGCAAAAGGGAGCACAGAAAATCGATTAACAGATTATTAGAATTGTGTCTTTACCCCTGCCACAAGACTAGGCTGATGGATCGGGAATAAACGAAATGTCTTACATGGTTAAGGTGTTCCTGCATTTGGATCGATTTATTTATCCCTTCTGGTAATATAGCTAGATGTGCAGAGGTTTTTAAGATGTACCGTAAAAGCTGATGTAAATATCCTTTGTGATGACCTCTGCTGGTTACATGTTTCGCCACCAACTGGTTGTATCCGGACTTCTCTCTGATTTGAGCGCGGATGGGAATGAGTTGGCAAAAGGAATAGCTAAAAGGATGATTCAGATTCTTGCCACACTTTCTGCCCACTAAGCTGCCGCAGCGGGTGACGCGCGCGTGTGTGTGTGTGTGTGTGAGTGGTGGCGGTGGCTGCCACTACTCGTGCATGGGAACTGGCTGCTATCTCTCCTGGGCACACAATCACTTGGATGCGAAGTGGCTTTTGCGTGTGCGCCGCAGTGCAATGGCTACACGGGATTTCTAGCTGGCAATGCCGCTGTCAGGATGTCAGGATGTTGGGCTATGAATTCGAAAACAATGGACCCATTGTGCCACCCGATGACGCTGTCTTCGGTTGCTGCCGTTGTAGTTGCTGTTGTTGTTGCCCGTAAACAATTGTCGCCCTGATGCCTGCTCTTTGCGCATCAGTAATTAAGAGTCTGTCCCTGGGCGTGGGTGTGGGTCGGTTCTAATTACCATTTATGGACACTATTGGTTCCCCTCTAAGCATGGCCAGAAATGGCGCAGAGCTGCTGCGCATTCAAGTGTTAGACCCACTGCCTGAAAGTAGGCACCGCAAACTGAAAGTCAGCCTTGTGTGCCTTAGGAGTAGGGCCAATCCTGCTTCGTCGTTATTCTTAATTTATGCGTATAGCCGGCAGATCTAAGCCAATAAACCTCCACACAATAGTCACATATTTACTGCAGTTCAAACTTAAGAGTATTTTGAGCATGTGATTAATCTTGGAAAACATTGATATTGAAATATCATTTTTATTTAGGGATTTTCCATATGTATTATGGAATAATGGATAGAAATAAGGAAATTCGTATACAATTTCCCTAATTTAACCGGAAGTCCGCTTACGTTTGTTTGCTGCCACGGTGGCTCGCTTCTTGGCTGCCACAGGTGTCGGCTTCTTGATGGGTGCGGCAACTGGCTGGCGACGCTTCGGTGCCACTGTGGTGCGTCGCTTGGGCGCTGCTTTGGTTCGCCTACGCTGCTTGTTCTTCTTGTTGTTGTTTTTGGTGGCGGCAGGCTTCTGGGTTTTTTTCGGCGTGGATGGATTTGCCTTTGGGGATGTTACTGGAGTGCTTGATCCAGCATTAGTTTCCGCGGAAGTATCTTCAGAGCTCTCTTCGGATGCGCTGCTGGCAGAGCTTTCATTGCTCACTCCCGAGTCGTTGCTCGGACTCGTTCCCGTTGTAGTTTGATTCGAGTTATCACTTGAACCTTCATCTTCAGATTCCTCAGAGCTATAATCTTCGTCGTAATCATAGTCATCATCATCATAGTCATACTCGGAGCTATCCGATGCATCTTCAGCGGCGAGTACAGAGGCACAGACCAATATGCCCACGGTTAGCACTAACAAAAATCTCATTTTGTTCGGGATCTTTAAAACGTTTTCAATTCGAGAATATAAAGTAATGAAATGGGCCCGACTTCGTGTTATTTATAGGGTTTTCGAAGCAGAGATACATGTTTTATCTTTTATTCTTTTATTTGTTCCAACGATTTAGTTTGCTTTTCTTTCAATTGTTCATAAATTTGTGAATTTTTTATATGGAGAGCTTTTCTATTGTTTAAACATCTGTGTGTGTCTTTTCATTGTTGATGGTTTTATCATTTGAATCAACTGCAAAGTGTTTTCAATTCTTTCTTGGAACTTATGCTAAGGCAAAGATCGAAGCCAGGAAGTATAGATTTAGGGTTTTCTGGATAGCTTACCATTAAATAAACAATTAATTAAAAGACATTACGTAAAACAACCAGTGAGATATTAATTATCTAAGATGAACATGTTCCCTTATTTATTTCAGTTTATTTACACACAATTACTATTATATTTCAAGCATCGTAGATCCCAAAATCCATAAAGAGGAAAAGCTTCTATTGGTACTAGTTATAAGAAAACATTTTTGATTTTTCTAGAACACTTAATGTTCATCCATAAACAGACATTTATGCTGGAGAACGTGGAACGATTTCTCAGTAAGTTTTTATTTAGATGATTCAATTATTATTTGCATTGAAATGTTTAACCAGAGCGCCTGCGATTTTTGGCAGCAGCAGCGTTGGTCCGCTTCTTGGCTGCAACAGGTGTGCGCCTCTTGGCAGCGGCCTGCTTCTTGGCCTGCTGCTGCCTTTTGGCCGCTGCAGCGCGACGCCTGGGTGCCACCTTGTTCCTCCTGTTGTTCTTGTTGTTGTTCTTTTTGGCGGCAGCATTTTGCTTGGGCTTGTTTTGGGTTTTTGGCTTTGGCGTGGGGGCAACTGGGGTGGCTTCCGATTCATAATCATCTTCAGTATCATCAGAACCGCCGTCAGTGTCGTCGCCATCTCCGCTCTCTTCTACGCCAGTGTTGGAACCATCAGCCGAGTCCTCAGGATAGTCACCCTCAGCCAAATCCGATTCATCGTATTCATAATCAGGATCGGTCGTTACTTGAGCCACCGCCACGTGGGCAATTAGTACAGCCAATGTGAGGACCAATAAGAACTTCATTTTGCTTTTTGTTTCGGGAACTTTGCGAACTCAAAATGAGCTTTCCTCCGTTCGCGCTTCTGGCATTTATAGTCTGGCCCAAAATTTTTATTTTGCATAGATCGTGGACAAATATTGTGGCACAAAAGTAAAGAGCAAACAAACACTTCTTCAGTTTGTCTTTGAAGCCAGCTGTGTGTGGATTTCTTTTGTTAGATTTGTGCTTTGTCGGGACTTTGTGATGGAAGAAACTTTTGGATGAAGCAACTTTTGGATCTCAAGGTGGAAATTGTGCGGAATAAATCTTGGAAAAGTTACTGGTGGATTGCGTGAGTCAAAGGAAGATTAAAAATGTTATCTTGAGCTGGATATAAATACTAAGGATTCATATTATGAATACTTCTGTGGTTTGGAGCACCATAACCATTGGTATGAATCAGAGGAATGCAGTGAGTTCTGATTGCCCGATCGCTGCATGAGATGATCCCATAAATTGGGTCCGTGTTCCATGGAATCAATCAGTTTCGCTTTAGAATCGTTGGAGAGAATGCAGCTCCAGGCTTTGATTGTTTTATTTATCCTCCTATCAATCGTCCATGGCATGGCCGTTTGGTCGGAGTGGGAGGACTTCCAAGTGCACCACAACAAGAGCTACCATTCGGCGGAGGAGCATCGCCTCCGGTTCCTCATTTTCGTGGAAAACAAACGGCGGATTGCCGAGCACAATGAGCGCTGGGCCATGGGTCAGGAGAGTCAATCAGTTTGCGGATATGTCGCCAAAGGAGTTCAGGGAACGACTACTCCGTGGGGTACAACCTTCCAAGGGCTTGGGGGATGTCTACTTTATGCCGCCGGATGTGGAGCTGGGAGCTCTACCAAGAACTGTGGACTGGCGGGCCCGTCATGCTGTGACCGATGTCAAGGATCAGGGGAATTTCAACACCTGCTGGTCCTTTGCTGCCACGGGAGTCATCGAGGGTCGTTACGCCATCAAATACGGTCATCTGCAGTCGCTGTCTGAGCAGAACCTCGTCGACTGTTGCCTGGGATCGGAGCAGGGCTACAGTACCTGGAGGTCCATGGGCTGCACCGAGCAGTTGGGCGGCATCGACACCGAATCGTCCTACCCTTACCAGGGAGACGTCGACGTCTGTCGCTATCGTCCGCGGGCAACGAGCGGTAAATGGCGCAGGCTCTGCTTCGAGGTCCTCTGGCGGTGTCCATCGATGCGCACTCGATTCAGTTATACAAGGGCGGCGTTTTCCACGATTCCTCCTGCAGCAAAGTCAACGTTAATCATGGCCTTCTGGTTGTGGGCTACGGCACCGATCCCAACACCGGCGACTACTGGCTGCTCAAGAACTCATGGGGCAGTCAGAAAGGCTACATCCGCATGGCACGCAACAAGAACAATCAATGCGGAGTGGCATCCGAAGTATTGTATCCCATTGTCTAGTGTGAAATTATTTCAGAATAATAAAGAATAAAATGAAATTTATTTGAGTAAAAGTTGAATATGGAATGGGCATTTACGAGTAATTGTAAAGCGATTGAAATTGTGATTAAATAACCACGAATTGCTCTGCTTATGTACGATTATATTCGAAACATGCCACAAATATTCAAATGTAAATGCTTGACCTTTTTTTCCGTTCAATTTCAGGCGGGGATAACGAGCAGTAGTTGCAGTGGCAGAAGACCAACCTAGATTCAAAGTTCGTGCCATAAATCTGCAACTTGTATGGAATTAATACCCCACCACCAGCGGCAGAAGGGGGTGGCGCAACAGGAGGCAGTCTAGGTGGTGCGGCGGCGTTGCACATGCAACACACACACACAACATTAGTTAGTGGGTCACTCGAAGATGATGACGTTGATGACCGCAACCGCAGAAACAACAGAAATAGCAGCAGTAGCAGCAGCAGCAGCAGGAAAACAAGCAAGCGCCTTGCAGGGTAAAATTATATAAAATTATCATGCAGGTCGACGGGTCACAGCGAGCAGCAAGTCGGCCCCTTGACGGTGGCAGACGGCAGGAAAAGGCAAAGGCAACGCTGCAGCGGTGGGTCGCATGACGTACACGACCGTAACGTGTGCACCAGGGGGCTGCTGGCCAATTTGTCCGAAAAAGGAGGAGACAAACGGAGCACCCAACCAACCGAACTGAGCCACTGACCAAGCGGGAACTGCAAGTGCAAGTGCAACTGCAAGAGAAACAGAAAACTGAAACAAAAGCGACATCAAAAGTGCACACAACAATTGAAACTTTTCGGCCCGAATGGCAAAAGTTTTCGAACAATTGCCACGGCGTTGGGGCGGGCAGCGTTGAACAGCGACGACAAAAATGTCAAAATGGAGAAGTTAACGTTGCCGCGTCTTTTGCAGCGACTGCAGCTGTTGGCGTTGCAACTGGCCACCACACCCAGCAGGCAGCCGCCACACCAGCAACAGCAACAGCAGCATCCACACCCACACGGCTGCCATCTGATGGCCATGCAGCTCTGTCAGGCCATGCTCCTCTATGGCTGCCTCCTGCTCCTCCATGCGTCCGTCTCCGTGTCTGCCTCGGCCTCGCACACGGCGCTGGCTCTGAATCTCTCATCAGCCATTGATCTAAACCAACTCAAACACCATCCAGAGCAGCAGCAGCCGCAGCCGCAGCCGCAGCCGCAGCCCGAGTATCCACAGACGGCACAGCAGCCGCAACAACCACAACGCGCACAGAAACGTGACGCTGCCAATGTGCCTGACGATGACTATGATGGCAGTTATCCGGACGATATCGACGAACTTGATGCCTTGCTAAATAATAAGTCAGGTGAGTGTGGGGTCAAGCAGCTAACTAAGACGCCCTCGGGCTTTTGTTTCAAAATTAAGGTCAATGCAGTTGGGTGCCTTGGGATGCTTTTGTGTGTCGAAATCCATCACAGAAATGTGTAAGGACTGCTAAAAACAGACTTAATAGAAACTATATCCTTTTGGCATACATTATTTAAGTTAAGTGTAAATATTGTTAACGAATTTGTTCCCCGATAACCAATATTTTCCAATATTTTATCCAGAACGAATTCCGCAACGTTTTAAATTCTTTGGCAATAAAAAGAAAACAAATTTCCTGAGTTTGTGGCTCTCTAAAAACGAAGTTAAAAAGTGTTTTTTTTGTGAATTTATTTTCACTCTTTCCAACATTTTTACGGTGTTTCCTTTAGCCAGACTTCCGTTGCGTTTCGGTTGGCTTTGCCATGACATTTTCCCGGAGCAAGCTGCAACTGGAATCCCCCAGAGATCATGAACGCCATAAATTGCACAACATCCAGTCTGTCTGCGTGGTCCAAGGTTTCCCCGTGGCTGTTGGGTTTGTTGTTGCTTAACTTTTAGATTTTGGCATGCAGCTTCCCTTCCACCTGGGGACTGCAGCTGCCGCAGCGGTGGGCTTGATGATTCATGGGCAGTCATGGGTTCATTTCATACGTCTTTAGGCACAGAATCACAGCAAAACAGCAGAGGGTTGGCCCCACAATACTGTTAGATTCAGTTTAATGTAACAGAAAGTAACGATTTCATCAAGAGCAGAATAATCTGACATTTGTATGCCAGCAGAATTTCGAACTTTATTTCGAATTATAAATGCAAAAGCTGCCCACGTCCTAGCAATCTGCATAACTGCTGGGGAGGACTTTTACTGCACATTGATGTGGATTAAATTGCATAATATTTATTATTGATGCAAATGGGTTTTTGTTTTCCGCATTGCAGCAAAGGGGAAGTACATTGGGGCGCCGTGCAACGAGCTGAAGTGCGACGTGAAGCTGCTACATGTGGCCTGCGACAAGGAGACGCAGACCTGCACATGCGAGCGGAACTATCCCGTGCAGCTGGGACCGATAAAGGGTTGCGCCAAACGTAAGATCAGAACTAAGTATTTACACACTTCTTTCATGGCATTTAATGATCGTTTCTTTGACAGCTAAAAAGCTGGGCGATCAGTGTTTCTACGATGAGACGTGCACCTACAACGACGAGAACTCCCTTTGTGTTCAGGTGCGCCACAATGCAATGTGCCAGTGTGCCAGTGGCTTCCACTCGGTCAGCTACACGAAGCCGACACGGCGTGTCTTTTGCACGCCAGGTAAGACCGACAGGCTCCGAGGCACTCCACGTCTGCAGCATAACGATTGATGTGTTTCCTTTGATAGATCTCAGCGAGCTGAGCTCGGATCTGCCCACGCTGCTCGGTGTCTCCACGGGCATTGCCGTGCTGGCAGGGCTCATCTGCATGGTGCTGCATTTGTTCAGCAAGACCAAGTATCCCAGGCACCGCAACTACGGGGATGCCAGCATTCCGCCGCCCATTCTTTACTCCAGCGATACAGGTTTGAGATCTTCGCCGCAAGGGCAAACGATTGGATTGATTGATTCTCTTGCCTTCAGGGATACCGCTGACAGTGCACTCGGCACGGCCGTCGTCGCGGTCTAGCATACGTTCGACGGGATCTATTGGCTCCTTTGGGCAGCGACGGGCTTCGGTGGGAGGACAGGCTAGCGGAGCAGCAGGTGGAGCTGGTGGTGGAGGTGGAGTTGGAGGAGGTGTTGCTGGAGGTGGAGGTGGAGGAAGCGGCGGCGGCGGGTCGAAGGGCATACTGGTGTCGACGTCTCGTACAGGTGCGGCTAGATCGGCCGCCATATTGCTCATATCGTGTCACATAGCGGCCGTGTCCAAACAAAATTCTCGCGCCTCATCGCGTCACACATCCGGAGCGGGTTGCAGCCAGCATTCGCGCGACGATCTCGACGAGAACAGTGGCGGAGGTGGCGGTGGCGGTGGCGGTGGCGGTGGCAGTGCGAGCGGTTGTCGCAGCTGCGAGAGCTCGCTCTCGATGAACCGCCAACTGCAGAAGCAACTGAACCATCAGCGGCATCTGCTCAGCTTCGAGCTGTCGCCGGCCAGGTCGAAGAATCAGGATAGATTTAGGACCCTCTTGGGCATGAATGGAATTGATAATAATTATAGAACCCATGACGATGATGACGACGACTACGGTCCCCATAGCATAGATCCCAGCACTGTCCCAGCACACACACACGCCGCACATGGCCATGACAGCGATGTCCATGGTGGTGTCGTTGTTGGTGGTGGTGGTGGTGGTGGTGCCAGCGGTGCTGCTGCTGGTTATAGTTACGGTTATGGTTATGGTTATAGCGATGCCGATACCTATGGCGACACCAACGGCACTGACGGCGCCGAGCTGCATCATTTGCAAATTGGCGCACTCCCCACGCCGGCGAGTGAAACGCCCCGATTTGCGGTAATTCAACTCAATCATCAGTCGTTCAGTCGCTCCTCCTTCAATCGCTCAACATCCACATCCTTCGTTGCAGCAGTTCAGCATCCATATCCACATCATGGTCATCTTTTCATGCTCCATTTATCCGTATCTGTAACCACAAAACAGCTCCAAACATCACAATGGAAACTAATTCTAAATTATGTACCTGTTCTCTCTGTATCTGTATCTCCACCCCACACACTCTCTCTATGTCTCCATCAGTTGGGGAGATACTCGTCCACCCAAGTGTGTTCTTTACCGTTGGATGGAGTTACATTTCTTTCATATCTAAATTCTGTTTGTTATTGGTAGAGCTACACTGTTCAGAGACTTGTAGAGATAATATTCATTGTACCCATTGGATGGTTAAATTCCCCATCTCCATGTACGACTTTCACACACATACCACATGAGGGCCTTGATTACCTTTCGAATCAGATTTAATTATTTCTACGTGTGTCCCAAGCTCATTTCATTTCACCATCATATTAGCCACATCCCAGATCTATATATCCCTCCCTATACGATTCAGCGCATTGCTTGCATAATTAGTGTTTAAATCGGTTACAATTCTATCTCCCGAACTAGTTGAAAAGTGAAACAAAATTTTATGTTCTCTTGATGATCGATGTTAAATGTGCTTTCGAGCTCTCCCTTCTGTTTCCAAATACAAAAGTTGTTTCTATTGTTATAATTTCTAAACTATAACCAGACACACACACACACAAAAGAACGCAGATACACACACACATACACGCAAGCCGATAATGATGAGGGTTCAGAATAAATTCAACAGCAAACAGCAAACGACCGATATTTTCCAGCTAAAAAATCACAGAAACTGAAATGATAATGAAATGTTAATCATTGTTTCGTACGAATATATATCATGGTTCCATTTTGAGAGGAGGATTGTTACCAATCCACAAAGCGGTGATCTGATGCTATCCAAAGATACCTAAGAGACAACCTCTGACAAGATGATATTGAAGCAATATGGCGGTGACTATGTTCAAAGCAAATCCTTCCCCTCCCCCGAACTTCCACACACTAACAATTTTGCCAATAACTATAACTCAAATGCAATGCAAATTAAGAACAAACACACACACAAAAACACACACAAGTACACTTTATGCATGCATTGAGGGGGCTCCTCCTGGTCCTGCCAGCAGCAGGAAGACAGCCACTCGGCGGCTGCTGGTGCTGGCCGGGCACGGAGACTCCCTTCAACTTATGGCTGACCTTTGCCCAAAACTATTTGATTGAGTTCACACACACACACACAAGCTCTATGACACACACACCCAACCAATCGATACTTCCACACGATATGGCCACTGTTCCTTCTACCTTCTTAAACCTTAAACCTTATACTATGTATCTGTGTCTGTTTGCTCGCTCGAATGTTCTTCTAGTTTATCCTTACTCTACTTCTTGTGCGCCTTGAAATCAAAATTCGATTGCGGCTTATGGCTTTTTGAAACCAGCAACAAATAACTTTGCCTGTGTGGACTCTCTGCATCTGCATCCTTCTCTTCCCTACGCGAGTATAAACGAGTACGAAGCTTGGCCAAACATTAGATATATGACTTGACACCCAAATGAGAAAGTTGTAGCATTATCTGAGCACTAGAGCTACAAATCTTTGGCGAAACTTTGTCCAGCTTGAACTCTTCTCTGCCTCTCTCTAAACTCTGAGCTAATCGCACTCGTTTAGTCTTCTGCTTCTGCTTTTCAATCGCTTCGGAATGAACTGTCGCTTACTCTCTCTATATCTTCTCTCTATATCTTTCGTAAACGTGTTACTCTCTTAAGCCGATGCTTCGATGTTCAATCAATACTTGCAAATACTTTTAAATATACTTTCTACTTACTACTTTCCATCCGTTTGTAGTTTGTGGCTCATTTGGTTAATGACTGTCTCCGGTTCTGGTGCTTCCTTTTAGGTTCTCGAAGACCAAGTCTAGCATCGGTGCACAGCACGAGTTCCTCGGTGCGCAGCTACAGCATGATGCGGTTCGAGAAGGAGGCACAACAGAAGGAGATCCGGCAGGAGATGAAGCTGCGGCTGGCCCGCCTGCAGCAGCAGCAGCATCTCACGCAGAACAAACCGCAGATAGTCATCGGTGAGGCGTTGCTTCAGCATGGGGCCTTGGGTCGAGTAACCATCCCCACGCCCAGCCCACTGACGCCCAACTCACTGGACGAGCTGCTGCCGTCACTGGATGAGAATCAAGAGGTGAGTTTTGATCACTGATTGAATCTCTTGCTAAACTCTCGCATATCTGTGCAGTATCCACCCAGGCTGGAGGGGACATACAAGCAGCTGGTGCAGCCAGGAGCCTCAGCATGTGGCGGCGGAGGAGCTGGCGCCCTGCGAGCAGCTGCCGCCCAATCGTCTCCGGCCAGTGCAAACGGCTACCATGGTCCCTGCAGCTCATCGACTGAGGCCCTCTAAAGCTAACCCGGTACCCCGTGAACCCGGGGGACATCCATAAATACACACAAGTATTAAAGTTTTCAAGTAGATTGTAAGCGAAGAAAAGCCCAAAGTTCTCATCTGGTTTGCTGTAGCAAATTAAATTGAACGTCAAACGTGTTGTAGATTCAGCTTAGATTATGTGTAACATAGTAAGCCCCGTGCCCCATGCCGCCTAAGCAGCAGCCTACCCCTCCTAGGCCTAGGCTAAGTTTCGTTTACCGACTAAGCGAGTTCTCAAATTAGTATTGTATTATATATAGCGGTACTTAGCAAGAGAGAGAGAGAGAGAGAGTGGGAGCGAGAGTTAATCGAAACATTTTATACGTGTGTGTGTATTGTCATACAGTTTTGTAGAAGTTATTTACAAATTAATTCGATGGATTATGCGATGCGCCTGGGGTCCGGGAGCCTTCTGCAGAGAGACTCGAATCGTTTCCACCCTGACCCCACTCGTTCCGATTTGATGGATCATCATGAATTGATTAGTTTAAAGTTAGTCTAGTCTAGTGTTTAGTGTTTATCGTTAGGGTGAGATAGTACTGATAAAATATACGCGAAATGAATTTATAAATTGAAAGTTTATGAGCAAACCATTCATTGTTTGTTCACTCGTACCGCTCACTCCCGATGAAAATGAACCTCTATGCAAGGAGACAGGCACCAGTCGCGAGATCTAGCTAAATCAATAATTATGTTAAGCGATAAATCAAAACAAAAAGTGTTGATCCAGACAAGGAGGCTCTTGAGTTCTTTGTAGTTGTTGTATCCAACGTAGAAATGATGAATCGAATCTTTGTGGCAAGTCAATTTTAGTTTACGACTAACGAATTTTTCTACAAAAGGCGTTTCAAGTGAATACAATAATCGAATAGATCAAATGTGTACATACATTAACTTACCCTTACCCTAGAAGAGCCCAACTCGATCGATCGATTGATTGTTGTAATTAACTAATAGCTAACGAGTATTTGATACCATGGTTGTTGACTGTAGTTTGGTTCCATGATTTGTTGTGTCCCTACTATCTATACATAGAGCTCTGTTCCGTTCCGTTCCGTTCCGTTCCACAAAAATACAAGCTATAGAAGACGTTAAAGAAAATTCACTATATACACCTATACACATACATACTATCCCGTATATATATATATATGTATACTTATGTGTATGTACATACCTATGCTATATACTTACGAAAAGGTAGACAACATATCTAAGGTTCAGTGTTGGTTGCATACGGGAGTAAATAGAAATAAATGAAATTTTGTGTTTTCAAAATCACTTCGTCTATCCTCTCTACAGCTCCTACAGCTCCTACAGCTCTCCATTGATATTATTTGCCTTGTGTTTGGTTCTTTATTTGCACTGAAGGAATAGGTGAAGGAAGGAACATTTCAAAAGGAATTTCAATTTGGAGAGTCTTTTGGGTAGTACAGTCAATTTGCATTGTTTCGAAAAGAGAACAATCAAATTCTCTAATCAACTTCCTCGATGGTGGGTCCAGCGCTGCCGCCGCCACCTGTTGCAGGCCCATTGGCGGAACCACCACTTGGTGGTGGCTGCTGCATGCCAGCACTCTGATAGAGTCGCGCAATAATGGGACTGCAGATGCGCTCTAGCTCCTGCTGGCGATGCTCGTACTCCTGCCGCTCGGCCAACTGATTGGCCTCCAGCCAGGCGATGGTCTCGCTGCACTTCTGGAGCACCGTGTCGCGGTCCGAGTCGCTAATGCGGCTACGCAGCTGCTCGTCTTCGAGGGTGGAGCGCAGCTGGAAGCAGTATCCTTCCAATTGGTTCTTGGCATTGACGCGGTCCCGCTGCTGTTCGTCCGCCTGCCGATACGCATCCGCCTCGTTGACCATGCGCTCGATGTCCTCCTTGGAGAGGCGACCCTTGTCATTGGTGATGGTGATGCGGTTCTCCTTGCCCGTCGACTTCTCCAGGGCATTCACATTGAGGATGCCATTCGCATCGATGTCGAAGGTGACCTCCACCTGGGGCACACCGCGTGGCGCCGGCGGAATGGCCGACAGCTCGAATTTGCCGAGAATGTTGTTGTCGCGGGTCATGGCGCGTTCGCCCTCGTACACCTGGATGAGCACACCCGGCTGGTTGTCCGCGTACGTGGTGAAGATCTGCGTCTGCTTGGTGGGGATGGTGGTGTTCCGCTTGATCAGCGTTGTCATCACACCGCCAGCCGTCTCGATGCCCAGCGACAGGGGAGTGACGTCTAGCAGTAGCAAATCCTGCACAGCCTCCGACTTGTCGCCATGGAGGATGGCCGCCTGGACGGCTGCGCCGTAGGCCACCGCCTCATCCGGATTGATGGACTTGTTCAGCTCCTTGCCGTTGAAGAAGTCCTGCAGCAGGCGCTGCACCTTGGGTATCCTGGTGGAGCCACCGACCAGCACAATGTCGTGGATCTGGCTCTTGTCCATCTTGCCATCGCGCAGAGCCTTGGCCACCGGCTCCATGGTGCCACGGAACAGGTCTCCGTTGAGCTCCTCGAAGCGAGCTCGCGTCACCGAGGTGTAAAAGTCGATGCCCTCAAACAGAGAGTCGATCTCGATGCTGGCCTGGGTGGAGGAGGACAGCGTACGCTTGGCCCGCTCGCAGGCGGTGCGCAGGCGGCGCAGGGCCCGCTTGTTCTGGCCGAGATCGCGCTTGTGCTTGCGCTGGAACTCCTGCACGAAGTGGTTGACCAGGCGGTTGTCAAAGTCCTCGCCACCGAGGTGAGTATCGCCGGCGGTGGCCTTCACCTCAAAGATGCCGTCCTCGATGGTCAGCACGGACACGTCAAAGGTGCCGCCGCCCAGATCGAAGATGAGAACATTGCGCTCGCTGGTGCCCTGCTTGTCCAGGCCGTAGGCAATGGCCGCAGCTGTCGGCTCGTTGATAATCCTCAGCACATTCAGCCCGGCAATGGCGCCCGCATCCTTTGTGGCCTGGCGCTGCGAGTCGTTGAAGTAGGCCGGCACCGTGACCACTGCATCCGTGACGGAGCCTCCCAGATACGCCTCGGCCGTTTCGCGCATCTTGGTGAGCACCATCGAGGAGACCTCCTCCGGGTAGAAGCTCTTCTTCTCGCCCTTGTACTCCACACGGATGCGCGGCTTGCCGTTGTCGGAGACCACCTCGAAGGGCCAGTGCTTCATGTCGCTCTGGACGGTGGCATCATCGAATTTGCGTCCAATCAGCCGCTTAGCATCTGCAAGTCAGAGCACAGTAATCTAAAATGAAACACCCTCGGCGCACTTGGACAACAGATTCACTTTATTATCTAACACATATATAGAGAGGGGTAGGGCGGGGACAGGACATGGTTGTGGTCTGGTCTGGTATTTGTATCTGTGTGTTCTTTTTGGCAGTTCTGGACTATTTTATTCTATTCGGTCCCTGACACTGAAATGAAAGTACAAAAGAGAAGAGAAGAAGACTTGCATTAGACCTGCTCCGCAAATCTCTCAAAAACTAGAGCGATGGGGAAATGAAGAGATAAAATAGAAGAAGTGTCTGAAGATCGGGAGGAAGTTTCAGAGAAAGGTATTTTATATGTAAGGAAATATATGGAAATACCCCAGAAATGTATGCAGAAAATAGAGCTTAAAGCAGCAAGTTTGATTTTAATTGGTTAAGGTTTTCCCACTACTGCAAAATCTTTGAACATTTTCCTAGACATTCCAATGCATCCCCTAGAAGTATTTATGTTTTTTCCCGCTTCTCGGACATTCCACAAGATACTTTTCTGCTTTTGCATTTATTTGGCTGACACAAATTATGCCAATAAACATGGCAGCAATTTTTGTTGGCACACGAGCGAAGGTGGCAGCCATTTGGGGCACCAAGAGAGAGAGAGCGAGAGAACTGACACAACAAGTGGATATGTCAAAAGACCAAAGGAGAGGCGCATCACAGGAGGTGTGAGACGGTGCAGAAATGCTCATGAGCTGGCCTGGCCTGCATTTTGGCGCCAGCAAGTGAGAATTTCTTTAAATAAATCGAGAAGCGAGATAATAAACAATCTCTGCGCGGAATTCATTCATGAATATTTTGACAGTAATTAAACCAGATCGCGGATACTCAATATAGATCAAGAGGCTCAAGAAAAGGAAGCTGGGAGAACAACAGACTCGATGCTAGATACGAAACAAAGCAGGGGAAGGGCCTTGGGGGAGACTCACCGAAGATTGTGTTGTTTGGATTCATGGCCACCTGGTTCTTGGCGGCATCTCCGATCAGACGCTCCGACTCCGTGAATGCCACATAGCTGGGCGTGGTGCGGTTGCCCTGGTCATTGGCAATGATCTCCACTTTGCCATGTTGAAAAACGCCAACACACGAGTATGTGGTACCAAGATCAATGCCAACTGCTGGTAATTTGGGCATCTTTGCTGCGGCTTTAATTAGACCACGTCAAGGTCCCACCCAAGAGCAGGCAGCCAGAAACAGACAGATCATAGAGAGGGCGAAAGAAAACGAATCGAAAATGAATTTAAAGTCACACACAGAGAGAGAGAGAGAGAGAACTCTATGTATTTGTGATTGTGATTACACAATCAATGAGAGGGTGTAAATTTTCTCACCCAAATTCCCCTAGACAGTCTCCTTGGGCGATCCTAGAATGCAAATCGATACAGGTACAAGGAGATGATGAGGAACAGCAGCACAAACGTCAAAACTCGCAGGAATTCCAGCGTTTTCTCTCTTTGCAGCTCCACAGCTCTACTGTTTATTCTCCCTTGGCCGCAATGAAAACTGATCCAACTCTCTGCTCCTGTCTGCTATGGTCTGGTCTTGTCTGTCGCTCTCGCTGGGTGTTGCTGCTGCTATATCCAAATTCTCGATCTCAAAAGATGCACGCGCCACGACTGCTACAAGAAAACTGCCAGTCCGAATGTTGCGACGCCTTTCCCTTGCCAAGAATTCCCCAATGCTATGATGCTGTGTGTTTTAAAAGCAGCATAACCAGAGGTGCATATACACTTTCTATGTGTGCAGTCGGCCAGTGGGATATAGGAGCCGAAGATACATTTGGATAAAGGTGCAGCATGGTAGGGTCACATATTTGAACAGTAAGTAAACATTATGCCATAAGTTACCAGCAAAATCTAGCTTACATCAGGGTTAGATGCAATGCTATCGGAAATGGTTTAATACTTCTTCCAATCATTGGCCTTGTGTCACAGCTGTTTACCATTTATTTGCTGACAAAACATAAGCACGCTCAAGCTGTAAATCGTTTGGTATAAATACCCGTGGCATCAAAGACTGAAGACATTATCCACTTAGACAACAGCAATAATGAAACACTTTCTGATCTGTGCTTTGGCTGCTCTCGTCCTCATTCACGTCGCCTCGGGGTTCAAAATCCGTCGCGTTGTCTATGTGGTACCAGTGACTCCAGTCCCCTCAACAGCTGCAACAGATACCTCGTCTGTTGCGCCAACAATAAGCTCAGTGGCTCCACCGACGGTGATTTACTGCTCCTGGAAGAACAATTGGTGTCGTCCCGCCTCGGACTCGGTGCGGAAGTGCAAGTGGGGCATCTGCAATTACACTGGATAAAAATGTTAACAATAATTGTAACAATTAACCCAAAACGTTAATAAATAATCATCAAACATATTGTAGCACAAAGTTGTCTGGTTTTTATTTTTATTTGAAAGTCTGGCTTGGTCAAAAAAGACTGGCTGGAACGGTTGGTTTTTATTCTTATTCAAATATTATGACCAATCCTAGACGGATCCCGACCAGAACTGACTGTAGGGGGTTCATACGAAAGCGTTGGCAAAAAACAACTTATAATCCATAGTGGGTCTTAGAGGCTAACTAAATTCGATCCAGGAATATCATCGCCTAATCGGGTTAAAGCTTATAATGGGTTAGCGCTAGGATACAGAGTACTTGCAGAAGGCTTTTGCATTGCCTGGGGTTAGTAATGTTAATATGATGAGAGGGTAGAAAATGCGTTGAACCAATACAATACTTTTGGTTAAACTAAGGCTACATTAGGGTTAGGCCATGACTAAACTTAACTTAGGATATGCATACGTGGGTGATGTGAAGCTTTTGTCGATAGATCGCCCAGGATTTATACTATTTTCTTGCATAGTTAGCAATTCATTTTATTATGCCATTTCACGTGGATAGGCTACAAAACATATTAGTTTCACTTTCAACTTAAACTCTTTTCACTATAAATGAAAATGATAGAAAATTCTGTGATGGTTTACAAGAATAAGAAATTATTATGATCGTTTTCACTTTGCGAATTGTGGGGGACAATTTAGAAAATTGGAAAAGATATCAAAATAGAAACAGTTGATAGATAAGCCCTCTCGTCGTGTAAATATTCTGAGTAGACAATTCATATTGCTGTCGTTTAGTATTCTTTATATTGTTTATACTTGCAAATATATATGTGATAATGTTATACAGTAATAATATAAGTTCGATTTATAACACTTTTCGTCAATACTCTTGTCTTAGAGTTAGGTTTCTTTTCTTCTCTTTTGTTTTCTTTACTTTGAGTCGCTTCGTTTCGTTTAATTTTCATTTGTTAATTTTTAATTTTGTGTGGTCCATCCACTGCGGGGGCCACTGAGCAGAGCTTATTGTATATTTGTATTAATTATAGTAATCTTTATTCGATTTCGCTTCATCTCTAACTTTTGCAGCAGCACTCAAAACGCTACACAGCAAATAACGTTAATAGAATTTTTGCATTGATTTTACAAAAATATACAGCTATTTATCTCTCGTTTACAATCTTCTTTCTCTCTTTTCAATCGTCTTTCTATTTTTGTGTGTTTGTTTATAATAATTCGTAAGGCAAAGTTCGTGTGTGTGTGTGTGTGTGTATTTGTTCTATATATTAGGGTATATGTTCTGTTTATGTGTGTCTGTTTTGTGGTTTATAAGTCGCCATGTTCTCTGGTTCTTTTTCAACTAAATGCATTAATTTTCGTAATATTAATTCATAAACATAAATGCTAGTGCTTCGAACTCACTAGGCATGTGGATCATTCGGAAATGTAGCGTGTGGGGGGGCTGATGGATGGTACATAAACACAAAGGGAGCGGAACAAAGACCACAAAAAAGGGATAATTTACGGATACGGATACGCACATGGAAACATGGAAATGAGTTAAAACGCGAGGGGAGGTGGCTGGCTGGTTAGGTGTCAATCCTAACGCCTAACAATGCTGGAGGGTCGTGGCAAGCCACTGCGCTTCATTTGGGAGGGCGGCCGTAGTCCTGAAGGCTTCGGTATGCCCGTGCCACCCGTTGTCACTTGCGTCAGCTTTGAGGTGAGCACCTGGGTATCGAACATGTGTGAGGGATTCGGCTGAGGAACATTTCCGCCATTGGAAGCAGCAGTAGCAGCAGCCTTGCTGGTGTCCTTGTAACAATAGAGACTGCCGCGCGAGGAGGCCGACGAAAGACTCTGAAATGGATAATTTAAATTAAGAAATAACAAACGAGATAACTGGCTAATTTTATGTTAACTAACCTCTGGAGTTTCTGCCTCTGGGGCCGCCTTAACGCTTAGGCTGTAATATCCCGAAGAGGGACGGGCCAGCCCATTGCCCACAGTTCGTTTTGCACCTGACAGCGGAGGACCACGCAATCCGCTCACCAATTTGGGCACCTTGAACACCGCTGCTTCTTCCTGCTGGAGAAAATCAGACATTCAAAAATATAATCATCAAAATATGTCCCACTGAGTATGCGAATCTGTGTACCCACCTCCTGTGCTTGCACGGGTCCACGCAGTCCGCCCATTAACTTGCTGGGCTGTTGGCCAGGTCTCCGCAATCCGCCACCCAAGCTGGGCCGTGGAGCACTAATGCCGCTCATGGTGGAGGATAAGTTGTGGAACGACTTGGATTTAATGCCCATGGGACTCTTCAGCTCTCCACTCGATGTAGCTGCCTCTGCGACCGTAGTCGGGGCTGCAGCTGCTGGCGTGGCATTCAGTCCGGCTCCGGCGGATGTGGCCTTGCTAACCATCGAGAATTTCTGCAGACCGCTGATGTAGCGCGGTCGTGAGAGGGAACGCGGCTGGGGTAGAGTGGAGGTTGTGGTCGTGGTGGAGAGGGCTTGTTCCGCTATCTGCGCCTCCTGCGGCACTTGTCGACGATTGAGCAGAGATTTATCTTTGGGCTTTTTATAGGTCAAATAGTTGCTCGAACTATTTTCCGCTTTGTTGCTGTTGTTGTAGTAGACGGACGGGTTCTGATCTCGCCGGGACAGGCGACCTGGCGGCGAACCCTGTCTCTGCGATGGCAGATCCTCTGATTCCGCTGTCTGTTCTTCCGCCAACTGATCCTGCGGCTCGTCGTCTATGCAAGGCACTATAATCTCCTGCTGCGAATCATCGCGCATCCGCATTTCCTTTGTTATCTTGATGGTCTTGAAGCGGTCGCGGTCTCGCTCACGGCGCTCGGCCAGTTTGTAGCTGGTAGGCGAATCAGTCTGCTGCTGCTGCTGCTCCTCCTCCGGCTTGGGCATTGTGTCAGAAACCGGCTGATCCTCTTGTGGCACCTCCCTGCGCTGCACTATAAACGAAGCGGAGTTGCAGCTGGCAGAGCTGCCGTTGCTGCCGTGCATGACACTGAGATTGACATCATCGTAGAGGCGACTGCGACGGCTGAGGAGGCGCTCCCCTGTACTGCTGCTGCTGTTGTTGCTGGAGTGACTCTGATTGAGCGTGGGAGTGGTCTCTACTTTCTCCAACTGCTGCTGCAGTGGCTGTTCGGGCTGCTCGGCAGGTTCCGCCTCCAGCTCATCCCTGTGAAAACGTCGCTTGATGGTCTCCAGAGATTTCTGCATCTTCAGCTGAGTTTCATTCAGGACATTCACCTTTCCCAGCTCGGCCAGCATGTGCTCGAACTGCTCCTCATCGCCCTGCTGGGCCAGCATTTCCACCTCGGCCTCGGCCAGATCCATCACGCACTGCATCTGCCTGTGCTGCTCGGACATTTGCAGGCTATAGGTTCCATCCAGTGGCTGTTCGATCTGCTCCAGCATCTCCATTGTGTCCAACACAAACTTTTCCCCATCGAATGGAGCCGCTGTCTTGGGCGTCGGCTCAAAGGTGTTGTTCAGTCGCCCACCGGCCTTCTGGGGCGTGGTGCCTACTATGGGTGACAAGTTCATGTCTACATCAACAATGCCGCCTCGCCCCTTCAGCGTGGGCGTGTACCCTTGCTTGTTGTTGTTGTTATTGTTGTGGTAGTAGTGGGAACGGATGTTTGTGGTCAGTGGCGTGGATGATTCCATTGTCAGAGAGGCCAGCTTCCTGTCGATATTTTCGGGTGTCTCGCACCGGGCCTCTGGAGTATTGCAGCCATCCGTGAAGGTTGTGTTCATCTGGCGACCAGCCAGGAGCAGCGTCTCATCCGACGGAGTGGTAACTGAAGTTGAAGTCGAAGCTGGCTGCGCCGGCGCCGGCACCCGCTTGAAGGTGGCATTGCCGTCGATCGACAAGGATTCAGACTCGGATTGAAGCATGGGCGTACAAGTGGTGAGACTATCCACCAGATTAAACGTTGTATCGCCGATCATTTCCTCGCCCAGGACCAGGGACAGCGCAGGTGGATAGAGAGCAGGGACAGCTGCCATCAGGATGGTGCGATCTGCCGCCAGAGGATTGGACATGCTCTCCGTGCTGTTGTCCATTGTACTGCAGCCGGATGCGGTCTTGCTCAGTGTCAGCGATATCTCATCGATCTGTCCAATGTGCGAGTCCTTGATCATAGTGCCATCCTCCTCACACATTGTCAGCGATTCCAGGGCCTTCCGATCTCTGATCATGTCACTGAGCGTATAGCCGCCCCCTCCATTAACCAGCCCCCCACCACCGTTCATGCCGTTGTCCGTCTGGTTGGTCAGAGTGGTGGTGAGGCTCATCTCCGATTGCAGGCTGAGTGTGGATTGGAGAAAGTTGAGATTGGTAAAGTCCGCTGAGGTGATCAGCGAGTTGTTCATCCTCTCCGTGTTCATGGAAGAGCAAATGGAAGACGGCGGCGATGTGTCCTGCAGGAAGGATTTATGCATGTTTGTGGTAACCAGACCGCCAATTTCCAGCTGCAGCATCGACGGTGTGCCGCTAACCGCTCCTGTGCCAGCTCCACTCTCGTTGATTGATGATACATTTTGGGTCTGCAGAAGTACGGATGGGATTAGATGTGGAAACAACTTAAGCACAAAGAATTCAAGGGAATTAGTACTCACGAAATCCAGATTCCGTCGCTTGGGGCGGGTGAAGGTCTTCGAGTTGTGTTTGTAGGCTTTGTAGGGGATACAATGATACAAGTTGTTTATATGGATTAGGATTGATTGGGCGAACACTGGCGACTTCTTATTTTTATTAATTATATTATTATATTATTGTGATTTTGTGAGTGTAATGACTTATAATAATAGATCAAAATCGCCAAAGAGCACATCTTCATTGATGACGAGCTCATCGGTATCATCGGACAATAAAGTTTCATCGATCTCTCGCTCCAAGTACGAAATATCATTTGTTCCTGGTAGCAGGGTAGCCTCTGATTGCGACTCGAGAGGTGGGATAGGCACCAAACGAGGCATAACATCGAGTGAATTTATTTCTGGAGATTTCTTTGACATTTCCTTCAGTACAGTATCTTCGCAAAGTCTTTCGGGAGTATATGACATTTGGGGTGACGCCACGTTGATGTTCATTTGCTCCACAGCCATTCCCAAGGTATCCAAGCACGACAATTCTTCTGGCTCCAAGTGTTCGTCCATAATCTTTTCCTCAATGGGTGGAATGATGCAGAGCATGTCGGTCTTTATCAACCAGACAGAGGATAATTCTTGGAGTTCCAATACAAAGTTGCGCTGGAAGTTTCGCAGATCCCTGCCAGTCGGACTGTGCTCTATAAAGTGGCCAGTCAATGTGACATTGCGCACGTGAGAAGTGATCACCTGGACGTCTACTGTGGCACCTGGGAGGTTGGTTTCCATCTTGGGGAATCGACCCAGGGCATGCATCACAGCATTACGACCAACCTGCAGCTTGGACGAGCGGGCAAACATGGACTGTGTGGTCTTGTAATTACGATTGTAGAGTCTGTACGCATAGACCTGCTTCATCGTCTCTGGCACACTCAAGGACAAAGTGGCTCCCTCATGGTAGTATTGCTCCAGCTGGGAGCGTTGGTTGGGCTGATCGAAAAACCGGTAGAAATACTTGATGAAGTCTTTGACAAACAGCACGGCATTGGCGTCAGTATTATCGAATAGCTTTAAATTTGGCAGAGCTATGGGTACTTCCTGCTTGCACTGGGATTGCAAACATCCCTCCAGTTTGTGGAGTCGGGGAAGAATGGCTAGAATCTCATCTTGCTTTAGTTTGGCCATCCCATTCCCACGTAGGATTAGACTCTTCAGTTTCAGATTGGCCAGACATTGTAGATCCGCCAACTCGCGAATTTTATTCGAGCTAATGTCCAGACACTCCAGGCCGTCTAACACTCCATTGGGAATGACTTCAAATGCCTTCAGCGAGCACAAGTAGTTGTCGCTGAGTATGATTTTGGACACCCGAGGCGTTTGCTCCAGTATTAAATGCAGAACGCACTCAAAAAACTTGTCCACGTACAAAGGGCAAAAGTGAGGGCCCAGTTCCGGCTTGGCGTGAAAGCGTGAAAGGTTGAGAGTGCGAGTGTCGGCATCGTAGGAGGAATGCAGAGCACATTTGGCTGCCTCTATGAATTCCGAGGTGATTTCGGTATTTAGTGTGTGTTCGGGTAAGCCCTCAATGACGCTTATGCGAATGTTCTTGCAGCTGAACACCAGGTTCAATTTATCGCGCAGCCGCCTCAAGCGGTTGGAACTCAATAGGTTGTCCAACGCAAGTGATCCGCATGCGCCATTGTCCTCCACGCTGCTGCGCTTAAAGTTGAACGGCTCAAACGCCTCTGGCGTGATGAGATATTTTAGAGCCAGGAAAATGTACGCATCGGCGACGCCCTCGCAATTTAACAGTACCACCGTGGACCAGCTCACAATGGCTTTGTTAGCCGTGCGGTACTGATTACAAATGGTATCCAGCTTTTTTAGGATGATTGAGGCAGTCACGTGCGAAGGTTCGGACATCAAAAATTGTATGTACTCATTTAGAGTCTCCTTGTTTTGGAAATTTTTCTTCAAGTCGTTCAGCCCTCGGTTCTCGGTTCTTGAGAACGCGGCTCTCGGTTGCGCCTTCATTTGCACGCAACGGGTGGTAGCCGTTCTTTTCTCATTAGTTAGGGTCCTCATCGTTTGTTTAATTAAACCAAAAACCGTAAATTGCGCAGAAAAACTAGCGTCGTAAAATGTATGTATGTAAAGATCACTGAATTACGGTTAATGGCAGGGTTGAGAAATTCCGGCAGGATTGCTGTCTGGCCACACTTAAGCCTCCCAAATTGGATTATCAGCCAAAGTATTTTTAACTTCAATTTACAGTCACTGTAATGGTGTTGCTACTCTTCAAGATTAGGAATTGAGACAAGACATGGGGGACAGTAGGCGCTTATTATGGTTTGGATTTATAATCGATCTGCTGGCAATCTATCATCTGCCCTTAAGCCAAGTCAGGACCTGAAGTGCAGTGAAATAAATCTATAAATGTGAGAATATATGTATATATGTATATTCTTTGCTTTGAAACTACCGCGTTAACGATTCTCAATCTTTGAATTACAAGCCAATATATCGATTTCAAGTGCTGTCTTGCGTGCTAGAGTTGTTGCTCTTGATCAAATCGTATTATTGTACAGGAAGTAATTGAGAGTCATGAATTATTTAACTTATTACACAAGATTCTAGCCATATTTGCTTGGCGAGTTTTCGTAGACCACGCACAGCTGTCCACTTGTACCGCATATGGATGTGACGGTATGTGTGTGTGGATGGTTGATTAATTACCGTAACAATAACATTGGCGCTTGCCAATTAAGGCGAAAACCACTTGGAAGACGACGGTATGTACGGAAACGAGTACGGCCCACCTCATATAGTCCAAATTTTGTCAACGTAGCCGCCAGTTTAACCTAATTTTGTTTTTAGAAAGCGCAACTGCACATGACTGCATGGACATGAGTACCCATTCGTACATATTTACATGCATATGGCCGAACGTGTGTGGGTTTGTGTGTGTGAAATGCACTATGCATAGGTATGTATGAAAGGCTTACTCTGCTCATTGTTGTACTGCGAGTGCAACTGCGGCTGATTATTCGTTTTCCACTGCTGAAGTATATTGGAGACATCGTCATGGTTCTTGTCCGCAAGAAATCTGCCAAGGAGTATCATAAGTATTTATAGCATTATGTCTCCTGCTCAGTCTGTGCAAGTAGCAGCAACAACAACACCACTGCAGCACTTACATATATGAATCATCCTTTAATGCCTCATCGATATCCAGTATATCCATGTCCAGCGATGAGAAAAACTTTAGGCGTAGCTTTAAACACTTTATTGCAAATACACTTAAATCATTGCAAGAAACGACAACATAAACCCTATCTATGGTCGTTTCTCTGTTTGGCCAATACAAGATATAATTTGCTCAAAACATAGAGATGTGAGTGAACCGAAACCTGTTACTTGTCACGGATATTTTTAAGTCACGACAATATGTGCATTTTCATAAATATTTAAATAGATAACTAATAATATGTCTGCGTAAAACTAGAGTTTAACGTAAATATTTTGTACACAACAAAAATTCAGTGCACTTTACTTCAATACCCTAATTGTATGAATAACAACCAAATCGTATAGCTACCAGCTGATCGAATATAAAAAAACCATTAGAGGCTAGTATAGCCTATTTGCACAGACTATCGATAGTTGAGTTAACTCAATAACTTATTCCTCTAGTGTTACTAAGCTGTATGCTTTTCGCATACGATCATTATATTTGGTCTAAAATTCTTGATTTCAAGTGTGGTGGAACAGGAACATGTGCAGTCACGGATACTTTTACACTATCGGTGACTAAAGATATTCCCCCAACTATCGGTTTGATGGTGGCCAGCTGACAGACCTAAATGGCTGCAAATACGTTCAAACTGACATTGACACTTATCGTCAGGTCGCTCTTTTGAATTGTTTAATGTTCTTTTTAGTATAGCTGGCAAATAAGGCTCTCAGCCCACAGGCAATGATTAATGAATCGGTTAAATTATAGTTTTGGTACATTCATTAGCGGTACATTCTGAAATTGAGAAGGTATTTTTCGGTATATTTTTGTGGGTCATGTGGTATCTGTTTATGTTTATTGTTTACAATTAAAAACCTCCAAAAGAATGAAAACTCCCACAAATTCCAGCATTTTGCAGCAATGTCGCTTCTGCAGGAAAACCTCGGTAGCATCGGTGGACATCTTTTGCAAGGGGACAACGGATTCCAGCATTTCGGAAATGGTGAACGGTCTTTTAAGCGAGAACTGCCAGGTTAAACGGGATGCACTGCCGCAGTGTGCCTGCCTGGCCTGCATACTGGCCACCAAAAGTGCCTTTAGCTTCAAGAGAAAGTGTGAGGAGAGCCATCGATTCTTTTCTGAGCTTCTGCTGATAAAGAGCCCCACTCACCTTGGAGGAAACAAGCTTGCCGATGAGGATGAAAGCGACGAAGATGAAAGGCTACCCAGTGAGATACCTTTTGAAGAAGCTGTTTGTGAGATGCAGCTAGACACAAAGGAAGGATTGTCAACGTCGCAAGAGGTAGAAGATCGCCTTGAGTTGACACAGGAAGGAAATCAGGGTGAGGGCAAAGTGGGCGTCATAAAATTGTACTACAGTCAATGCTCTGGTTGCAGAAATACAGAGGGATGTCGAGGAGCTAGCTGAAATGAAGGAGGATCCAGATGGATTGCGGAATGCGAACGTTTCTCCTGAGACTGATTCGAGAACAAATCCATCAACCTCTTTCCTTTGTTCAGAGTGTGGTTTGACTATAAAGTCGAAATACACGCTGGCCCAGCACATGGCCATTCACAAAAAACAGTTTCAGCGATCACATCTTTGCGAGACCTGCGGCAAGGACTACAGAAGCAGGGCTCAACTGGTAGTTCATAAGAGAACGCACACCGGCGAGCGACCCTATCAATGCACCCACTGCCCGAAGACATATTTTCAGAGCACGGCTCTGAAGACACATTTGATAACCCATGGCAAGGAGCGACCGTACAAGTGCTCACAGTGCCAGAAAGCATTTTATCTGCCGAGGAATTTGAAAGACCACCAAAAGCTGCACAAGGGAGAGAGACCCTTTCAATGTGCCAATTGCCCTTTGGCCTTCACCAAGAAAGCCAACCTGAGGACACACATGCGTCAGCACACAGGAGAGCGACCGTTCAACTGTGATATATGTGGCTTGACTTTTGTCCAGAACCAGCATCTGACAACCCATCTTCGTGTCCACAACGAGGATCGTCCCTTCAAGTGCAACGACTGCGATAAATCATTTTTCGTTAGCGCCAATCTAAAGAAACACCTCCGCGTCCACACTGGCGAGAAGCCCTTCAAGTGCTCTGTCTGTGGACAGGACTTTAAGCACAGCCATCATCTGAAATCCCATGTTCGCAGTCATACGGGGGAGCGGCCCTACAGGTGCAACGAGTGCGAAAAGGCCTTCGCCTCCAATCAGTCGCTGCAGAAACATATTCTGTGGCATGCCAGCAATCGAGATCGGGCCTTCAAGTGTTCCGACTGCCCCAAGGGCTTCGACAGCTTACGCGGCCTTAAATATCATATGCGTTTGCACAGCTCCTCGTCCTCCTCAAAGGAGATGGCGAAGGTGGAGGCCCTGCACATGTGTCCGATCTGTAGCCTGAGCTTTAGCCTGCAAGACGCCTTGGAAACACACATTGCCATCCACAATAAGGACCTAAATTGAGCACAGTCGTACCTCCAGAAGCATAAGTGTACATTAGGATCTTGATGATCCCATTTGTTTATTTATTTATATGCTCATTTGCTGCCCTTGATGGAACTTCTGAGCAAATTGTGTTAATTAAAAAGGAATGAGCGATGGGCACTTGTTGTAAACGAGTGTACAAGAATAAAATAGGTATACTAAAAGTGTATAAAATTAATAGATATTGTTAAAAGACATGTAGAACAGTTTAGTGCATGTCGTCGTGCAGATCTACTTCTTCAAGCTGCTAAATGTTGGCTCTACAGGAATTGAGAAACAGATTAAATCCTTCATCGTCGTCTAAGAATATGTCATCAGTATCACCCAAAAAGGTATCTTCGATCAGTCGATCACTTAAGTTTAATTGCTGTCTAGCTCCTGAATTGGTGTTGGGAATTTGTTCCTGGTCATTCAAATTTGAAGGCACCAAACGAGGCGTTTCCGCGTATTCATCACTTTGTTCTTCCATTGAATGCGTTATTGAAGCTTTATCGTTTACAGGCGAGATCGAATTAAATTGGTCAAAATTCATTGCGTTTGGTGGTATATTTGCCGGGGATTTTTCAAAATGATTGGTGATGCTCAATTGCTCCCATTTTCCGGCTAAAGGCTCTGCGCTCTCATCAACAAGGTTTATCTTAATGGATGGAATGATGCAGAACATATCATTCTTTATCAACCAGAATCCAGATGGTTCCTGCATTTCCAACACAAAGTTGCGCTGGAAGTTACGAAGATCTCCGCCGTTGGAGCTGTGTTCCATAAATTGGCCAGTAAGGGTGATCATGTGCATCCGTGGAGTGATAGTCAGGACATCTTTCCATACAGCTGACAGGAAAGTTTCCATCTTGGGCAAGCGGGCCAGGGCATGCACCACTTCCATTCGACCAATTTTCATTTTTGACGCGCGTGCAAAAGTAGATTGCGGGGCCAGAAAATTACGATAGTAGAGTCCGTATGCATAGACCTGCTTCAGCGTCTCTGGTACACTCAATGAGAAAATGGCCCGCTCATGGTAGTGTTTCTCCAACTGAGAGCGTTGGTTGGGCTGATCGAAAAACTGATAGAAATGCTTGATGAAGTCTTTGGCAAACATCACGGCATTGGCGTCAGTATTATCGAATAGCTTCAAATTTGGCAGAGCTATGGGTACTTCCTGCTTGCACTGGGATTGCAAACATCCCTCCAGTTTGTGGAGTCGGGGAAGAATGGCTAGAATCTCATCTTGCTTTAGTTTGGCCATCCCATTCCCACGTAGGATTAGACTCTTCAGTTTCAGATTGGCCAGACATTGTAGATCCGCCAACTCGCGAATTTTATTCGAGCTAATGTCCAGACACTCCAGGCCGTCTAACACTCCATTGGGAATGACATCAAATGCCTTCAGCGAGCACAAGTAGTTGTCGCTGAGTATGATTTTGGACACCCGACGCGTTTGCTCCAGTATTAAATGCAGAACGCACTCAAAAAACTTGTCCACGTACAAAGGGCAAAAGTGAGGGCCCAGTTCCGGCTTGGCGTGAAAGCGTGAAAGGTTGAGAGTGCGAGTGTCGGCATCGTAGGAGGAATGCAGGGCACATTTGGCTGCCTCTATGAATTCCGAGGTGATTTCGGTATTTAGTGTGTGTTCGGGTAAGCCCTCAATGACGCTTATGCGAATGTTCTTGAGGCTGAACACCAGGTTCAATTTATCGCGCAGCCGTTTCAAGCGGTTGACACTCAATAGGTTGTCCAACGCAAGTGATCCGCATGCGCCATTGTCCTCCACGCTGCTGCGCTTAAAGTTGAACGGCTCAAACGCCTCTGGCGTGATGAGATATTTTAGAGCCAGGAAAATGTACGCATCGGCGACGCCCTCGCAATTTAACAGTACCACCGTGGACCAGCTCACAATGGCTTTGTTAGCCGTGCGGTACTGATTACAAATGGTATCCAGCTTTTTTAGGATGATTGAGGCAGTCACTTGCGAAGGATCGGACATCAGAGCGTTTATGTACTCGTTTAGAGTCTCCTTGTTTTGGAAATTTTTCTTCAAGTCGTTCAGGGCGTCTCGCGGTTGCGCCTTCATCTGCGCAGCACGGCGACCGGCCGGGGAACTATTGGATTTGTCGATGGGTACGATTTTCATGGTTTATTACACTATTCTAACAAAATAAAACAAACTTGGCAAAACGTTGCAAAAATATTCGGCAGTGTGGAAAAACCGGAAATAAGGTGAAAAGTGAACAGTGTTGAAAAATGACAGCAGGGGTAACATTGAACAGAACACTGGAACGAACAGAATTTGTATGTTTATGTTTATTGGTAAGTTATGTTAATTAAACAATCTAAAATGTTAAACTTTCCGTTTCATTGTCCGTTCATTAAGGCAAGTTTTGTCTGTTGCACAGTTTTAATTATCAGCTGCGCCCTCTACGGTTGCCAGTATGAAAAATACATATATTCATGGTACGAACATATCTGCTATAACATAAATGCTTCACTTACACTTAGATTTGCTTACGTACAGTTTCTGATGAGTCGCCACAGTTCCGTCCTCTATTGTCTCTCAAGGGAACAAATGCTGCGACTCATCAAAGGCAAAATGTGTAAACATAAACGAACTTTTAAAGCCCGCGAACAAAAAGGCGCGATATGTTTTCATTTTTGAATATCAGTTAACAATTAAGAAGGAATCTGGATAAACTGAAAGGGGTATGATAGAGCAGAGGGGTAGAGAGTGTTTTGTGTTTAAACATAGGTACGAGAGTAAGGTCTAAATTACAATAACTATCATATAATAATCATATCGAAGAGTACGTGGTAAGTTTTGTTTAAAATTAATAAAGCGTAATTAGACAGATTTCACTACGAACAGAAGAAGGGCGATGCAATGCCTCAATTTACATACAAATAACAATCAATCAAGTACAATAGATAATACATTTAATAGATAGATAGATCGATCGATCTCCATGCCTATGTCTATGCCTGGACTCTCGTTTTTGTGTGTGTCTGTGTTGGTTGGTTGGTTGTGTGTATAAATATTAAAAATATATATGAATGTAGCTTATTCACTGCACTCTCTCTACATTAAGAATATGAGAGTGGCATAGACCTTCCAGCGCGTCGTCAGGTTTGTCCAATTACCGCTGAAATAAACTCCAGAGCTTGTAGCTAGAGACGCGCTTGGCCAGATTGGCTGCTGCACTGCTGCTGGGCGGAGGCGTGGAGGTTTCTGTGGCCAGGACGCGACGATTGTTTATCAGCTTGGAGCGCATCTGCTCGTCGATCAGCTCATGCATGTCCATCTGCCACTGCTCCAGCTGCTGCGAGAGCTCAACCTTCTGCTGGATGGACTCCAGCAGCTGGCTGTTGGCCTGCATCAGTTCGACGCGGGTCCTGGCCAGATCCACCTCGGCCTTGGTGCGTCGTCCGTTGGCCGCATCGCGCTCCGTTTGCGCCTTCGTCAGCAGCTCATCCCGATTCGTATCATCCTCCAGATCGCCGCGTGCTTGATCGCGCTCTTCCTTCACATTCTGCAGCTCCACATCGGTCACGGTCACCTTCGCCTCCAGTTGCTGTATCAGCTGATGGCTGCGCTTTATCTCATCCTCCTGCTCGAGCACAAGGTTCCTTGTTTGGTCCAGCATCTTCTTGAAGTTGCCCGCATCCAGGTTCAGCAGCAGCCGCGTCAGCTCATCCGACATGGACGAGAGCATACCCTGTCGGAACTCAATGGCCATGTGCCCGCCATCATTGCGCTCTGTGCTCGAGATCGTGTTGTCCATGGACTCCAATTCCAGCGATATGTCCGAGTTGAGACCTATGCAGCACGAAATGGTGTTAGCTGATGTGCAGAGGATGGAGTAGAACTTCCTGGTACCCACCTGAGTCATCGTCATGGCTGACTTTCAGAGAGTCCACCAGGGACTTGAGTTGTATGTAGACGGAGCGTGCCTCCACCCACATATGATTGGGCTTTCCCGTTTCCGTATAGCTGCCATCGTCATCGTCGCACTCCATTTCAAACTGCAGACTCTTTTTTCCAGGCATGCTGGAGCTAGTGTCCTGTAGGGTTAGGATTTGGAATTGAGTTAGTATTTTGTACGAATCTCTCCAGCTATGGTGGAGCTTGGTTAGTTTCCGTGGAAAATGTTAGAGATTTTAGTTGGGGTTAGTAAGGGTTAATGGTTGATTAGTTCATGTGGCCATGAGGTAGAAGTTCAGAACTTACGGCGCCCAAGCGTTCGCTAAGGACATTGTTCTCTCGCTGGGAGCGTTCCAAGGCCTGCAGGGTGGTCTGTAAGTAACAAATATATAAGTGTGAGTATTGCCCATCCAAGTTCATTCATTTGTATACAGTGAAGTTTAATCTGAGCTGCAGTAAATAGAGCAAAAAGAAAGTTATGTTCTTTGACGTGGAGACGAGATAAGGCTTTCCAGGCACTTGAGAAACTGCGCAGTGGGTGCTTTTTGGCTCATAAATTATCTTCAGTCAACTCCAAACTGATCACGATTCCGTGGCTGGGACGTGATAAAGCCAATTCTGATTTGTTGTTCTCTCTTTTCTTTTCTTTTCTTTTCTTTTGTTAGTTTTTTTTTTATTCGCTCACCTCTAATTTTGTTTCCTGCTCGCGCGCGTGTCGCTCCAGCATGTGTATTCTGTCGGAGGCTTCCTCCAGCGATGAGGTGAGGCTCTCCTTCTCGTCCTGGGCGTGCTGCAGGCGACGTTCCAGTTCCTGCCGCTTGCCGGTGGTGAGGTTGAGTTCGGTTTTAATGGACTCCAGACTGTTGACATGATCCTGGCAAAAGAAAACGCAAATTAGTTAAGGAACCGCGCTACGCCTGGTACTTTTTCCTCCTGTACTAACCTGCAGGCTGCTGTTTCTGTAGTGGTACTGATCCTTTAGCTCCTGTATCTGTGCGCTGAGTTTTAGTTCGGTGGCATGTGCCTCCTGTATCTGCTCGGTGAGCCGTGTGTTCTGATGCTGCAGCTCGTCGATCAGTATGGTCTTCTCCTTCTCCGCCTGCCGAATGGCCATGTCCTGGGTCTGTAGCTTCTCCTTCAGCTCGTTGAGATCGGACTGCAGCTCCAGCACACGCTGATCACTCTCATCCTCGGCAATGGACAGCTTCTGCCGCAGCATGTGCTTCTCCTGTTCAAGTTTCTGCAAGAAGGGGCAACAAATGAAAGTTAATTAGTAGCTGCACTGCACAATCTGACACCACCACAACCCTCTTGACTATTGTTTATTCTATGACGTAGCTATTGTTGATTTTGCAAGGCGAGAGACAATGAAAGTAAGGCAAACAATGTGCACGTACCAGGCAAAACCGCAAGGTTAACGCGGCAGCGGCTGAGGCTCTCAGCGCTCTCGACTGCTAATTGTTTAGCTGCTTAGTTATTTGCATTTTCAATTAGCCGCAGGTTGGCCGAAATGTAAGAGTTGGCCCTGCCAACACCAGCGCTCCTCCCGCTCACTTAATTTATTTAATTGCGGCCCGCCGCCCGCTTTGTCTGCGGTTTTGCATCAGTTTGGCCACACTGTGCACAAAAAAAACTCCTAATACAATTTCCCAAACAAACGCCGAACAATGCCAACGACTCTTGACACCACCGACAACAGGCCACAGCCAACAGCCAACAGCCAACAGCAGGCGGAGGCATGTGGCAGTGGCATCCCATCCAAAGCAATAAATTCCCACTCGAATTAAAATGCAATTGGATTTTCACTTCTTCTCTTTTGTTAAGAGCCAGATGCAGAAAGCGGTGCAATAACACAGAAAAAACTAAAACAAATAAATCAAAAGCACATCAGCTGGCCTTCCCAGTGGATCAATCGATAGATCCTGCTTGGAACGACGATAGCCGATCAGTTCCAGTGCTACCCATTTCATTGGGCAACTAATTTGAATAATTGACAGGCAGCAGGCGGCAAGCGGCAAGCGACCTTTTTGGATCAAGGTTTGCGGAGACATTGAAAACTTGCATGCAAAGTTTAATCGATAATTGGACCTTCAATTCGCAAGCAGTTGCCAGCCCTGCGCCGTTTGAATCGCGAGCTAAACACGGGGCAAAACAGTCAATCAAATTGCAGCTTCTTTATCGCGCCACCAACCCACAACTCAAAGGCGGAAGACCCGGAGCCAACACGTAGGGGACTGGGAAAAATCACTAGCTGGCAATAAATCTGAGAAGTCAACAGCGAGTTGACAGAAAAAAAAAATACGAGAAAACTGAATATAAACAGAAACCTAATAAAGTGGAGCGACAAAAGAGTAAATGAAAAGCTTAAATAAAATGGCGAGCAATTTGCATAAACTGCAGAGAGTCAAAAACTCAAAACAAAAAAAAAACCACAAGAGTCGTTGCAAGGCAAGCACAAAACCAAAAGGAAAACTGCAACAGCAGTCAGCCGGCCCAGACAATGGAAAACTTTAATAAGAAAAGCGAAAAAAAAAAAAAATACAATTGCAATTGCCAGCGACAGAGAAACAGAAATACAATTATTGTACATACTTTCTCTGTTTCTATTTCACGCTCAATGAAATGTTTTGATGATGGCAGCACCACCGCCACAAACACAGGCAGCACCACCAGCCAACAACGGAAGTGGCCATCAGCCATCAGCCACAGCAGCCGCCGGCCGCCGGCCGCCGGTTACCAGACGCCACCACAGAGAAAATGAGTTCACATATTCAAAGCAAAACAAAATCATGGGGCAGACTTTAATTGTAGGAAAACAAAATACGCAACGCAACAAAATCAGCCTCAAATATCACGATGGACATGCCGAGAGTTTTGTTTTTGCGTTAATTTTATTACGTATTTATGTATGTGTTCGGATCTCGTTTTCTTTTATAGCTAATTACACTGCATTGCATGATAACAACTCGCTATGGTATCCCATCCCCATCCCCATCTCTGTAAACACTTGAGGCAGTCCCCAGAGCCGGTATCTAGTTTTTGGTTAGTTTCTGCCACTGTTTCTGCTGTGTTGGTTTCTTATTCAAATGCGACGTAACTCGACCCACTTTGCTGTCAACCAACCAACCAAGTATAGAGGCGTTTGAATTGTTGTTGATTATCTGCTGATTTTCCTTTTGGTATGAATATGATAAATATTTGTGCAGCGAAATTGTTGTGCAGGAAATGCCAAAGCAATTGACACGCTTAGGTGACATCGAAAGCAAAACAAACGACGAGCGACAGGTGCCTGCTCCCAGTGACTCATCAATGTGCGGCACAGCATTGCAGGAAGGCATTTTGCATTTACATATTTTTTGTGTTTTTGACGACTTAAGCAGTTGGATATGCAATAGGAAATTTAATGTTGTACCCATTCAAAAAATGCAATTAAATTGACAAAGAGTGGATGTTACCAAACAGATCCTAAAAAGACATTTCTGGTACATTCTGTATGCTATTTTTGATCGTTTTGTTGCGCACTCTTATGATTGCGTTCAAGTGTAAAATATGATGACCAGCGATTCTTTTCAATACACTACTCAATCGACATGTTTTGTGCTACCATAATTGCTGACTAATTTCCACTCAAAAATCTTTAAAATGGCCAACTTTGGGTATTGCAGAATATTGCTTGTACTTTTCAAGTGTTTAAAGCCATCATCAGGTTGAATGGCTTCCCCTCCGCTGCACTGATAAGTGGGGTGTTGAAAGCAGCGTGCCGCCATAGCTGCAAAATGCATTCGATAATTATTTTGAAAATAATTAGCTACATTGCTGGCACCGTCACGTTGGCCTGCCTAGAATCGTGCCAGGGGCGGGCGGGCAGACTCGAGAAGTGACTCACTCGATGAGTTGACAAGGCTCCAGCTCCGGCTCCGGCTCTGACTCTGACTCTTGTCTTGTTTCGAAGGTCAAATGAATGGATATTACCTAAGCGACATACGAGTACAACTATTAATAAACATTAGGTTTTAAATTTGAATTGCTAAATTCTGTGCACAAAGGGAATGGAGCAGGCGCCTGATGTCGTCTCTGCAGTGTTTGCGAATTATAATTTTGAATAAAACTTATATAGAGAGCATAGAGAGCCTTTGCATATCGAATCCCGGGCGTTGCACATCCACCAAGCAGCCCAAAACCCATACAACTAATTAGAGATCAAAATCAAAATAAATTATGTTGTGCAGTTTTAATTTCTTCAAGCTCCAAGGCGCAAAAGTAATCATCCTAATTGTCTTTACTTGTTAGATGTGGCCGCCGCCCATATTGTTGTTTTAATTAATCTCTCAAATAAAAAATGTTTTTATTGTTCACGCTTCCCGAACCAATTCATATTCATTGTGCAGCCTTGACCATGGTATAAGGAGGGGTTTGATATGTACATATGTTCATATACACGCTCATATATGTTGCAGTTGCAACATTCCCAAACGCATTTACCTAGAGTCTTTGGTAGCATTTTCCGCCTCTTTGGTCATAGATCAAACAGCTGCATTTCGCTGCAGCGAAATGGCTAGGAAAAACGTTCAACTTTCCGTTTTCACAAGAGTTTTTCACAATTAAAATTGTAATTGTTAATGGCATATTGCATTTTATTGGCATGCCACACAACACAACAAAATGTAGCGCACAAAATTATGCAAATTGCACGTTTAGCCACACAAATTTGTAACTAATTTCAGCTCATTTAAATAGAGAGACCGATTAATGATCGCTGATATCAGCAGCAGCAGCAGCAGCAGCAGCAGCAGCAGCTACAACAGCAAACGGGGGAAGCGTCTTGTGAAAAGTCTCCCCGTTGTTTTAGCTAATTTATTGCAACACTCTTGGCCAAGAAGAGCGGGAGAGCAGAGCAGCCATTTAGAGTGTGAAATGCTGTAATTAGTCTGGGTTTCGCCACACTGCAATCGGATAGCAATCAAACAGTAAATCAATTCAATTGCAAGGCACTGCTGAACACTCAGCAATTAAATTGTCACCATTATAAGTAGGAAAGGACTGACTGGATTGGAGTCCTGAGTGTATTTTTGAAGCTATCGTGTTACCCGGAACCAAACTTCTCGGAATTCATTGGCAATGCACCAGAGAACATCATTGACCCCCCGCATACGCATGCACTTTATGGCTCACAAATTTAACTTTGAAGTCATAAAACAATTATAGACCAAGTCCAACAATCGTGTTGTGTGTGGGTATGTGTGTGTGCTGTGGCCCAAAAGTTTGTTTATGCGCCTAAGGTCATGTCGCAGTCAACAATGGGGCGTGGCACCCCTTGGAGCCTCTGCTCCACAGTTGACTGACAGTCAGAGCTCCCTCCGAATGGTAAAAAGCCGCCAAAAGAAGTAGCAAAAATAAAACGAGCAACTATAATAATAAACAAAATAATGCCACAATAAGGCAAAAGGCTGATCTTTGCCATTGTTCGGCGGAGGTACGGTTTGGTTTTGGGTTGCTTGGCAGATAGGCAATGCAATTTCGAGTGCCCTTGGATTTGGATGGGGTACTACGGGCGACCAAACAAAACGAAGACCTCTGAAAGTTGGTCATGGTGAGTGGCAAAGGGTTGACAACAATTGCAGGGCTTAGTGGGGGGACTGTACACTATTTCTTCATACTCGTACTCCTATTGCTTGGCATTTGATCCGCTCGAATGCAGAATTGGCAATCCATCAAAGATTGGCAAGATTGGTCAAGCCCGGATCGAAAGAGTTTTCCAAACATCCATATGGGAATTAGCAAGATAATATATTTTATAATATTTGTTTGCCAATTATCTCATCAAAATAGCCATTAATCCCATTTCATGTACGTGGTTTTAATGCAGTGTTTGATTTATTAAAAAACCACAAAACCTCTTTTAAGCCCTAATAAATATGGCAATATTTTGCCAGACATTTTCTGCTCCAGTTTTTTGCACCACAATACGAGTACTTTTTGCAACATCATGCCCCTAGGTCTCAACCCCAACCCAAAGCCACTAATTTCAAATTAAAATGCAAAGAAATCGACATTCACTGTTTGTAATGTAATTTCAAGTGTTTGGCATTGACAATTTTTTGTAGCGATTTTCAGGCATATCCAAACCCGTCCCATTGTTGAGGAAATTGTGAAAACGCCAGAGAATTGGGCAAGCAAATTTCGTTTGTATTTATCTCGGGGTTTGGAATGTCTCAAAGATGACAAAGATTTCGAGAGACA